TGTTGGGACAAGTGGAGGTGAAGAGAGCGAGAGAGAGAAAGACACAACACGGTTGTTGTGTTCTTGTAGACACTGAACAAATGGTTTGGCAAAAGGAAGATGTGCGGCTTAGCCGTTTAACCGCCTTATGCCGTGAGGGGCATTTCACAAATTGGCGAGTATTATTTTTATTTAACAATGATCCATACCATCGGCAAACCTGACATTCAGAGCATTTTTTGGTTCACACTTGTAAATGTGTGCGATTATATATTGCCATGTATATTTTGTATTAATATGCCACAAGCCTTGTATAAGAATACCAATATGTGTCCGTTTAAGAAGGGTTTGTTGATTACACGTTGCTACGCAGGTCCTGTTGAAGTGCATTCGTGAAACCGGGCAATGTCTCTCCACATTTCCCCGAGAGAATGCGCACAATCCTTGGCTTTTGTTCGACATTTTATCAACACGGGATACCGGCGGGCATACATCTTCGGTGGCACCCAGAACACGCAACCACTTGATGCCCGAGCATCACGACAGAGACTGAAAAGGAGCTCGTCAACGTGTCCGTCACATAAGCAGCTGTTTACATTTCGATTTAAAGCTTTCGTGACTGCAGGGATTCATCTTCTTGGTTCTTTCGGTAAAGTCACGTAGAATGGAAATAATAAAATAATAAAAATAAAACATAATAAAATAATTCTCACGACGTTTCGGCCACAACGCAAGCAGCCGTCCTCAGGTGAAGAACAGGTCTGTCGGGAAGACAGTCTGAATGAAACACCACCAAGCTTGGCAGCGTATATTTAAGCTGGGTTGGAGGGGGAAGAGCGCCTTGACAAAAGACACTGGTTGATGGTCATCTATCTCCATTTGGTGGTCTGGAGAAGCTTCTAGAGTTTAACGGCTGGGTTTAGGCGGTGTGTAACAAAAAATATATTCATCTCTCACCAAACTTCGTTTTAAAGCTTTCGTGACTGCAGGGATTCATCTTCTTGGTTCTTTCGGTAAAGTCACGTAGAAGGGAAGTAATAAAATAATACAAATAAAACATAATAAAATAAGTGAGAATTATTTTACAAATAAAACATAATAAAATAAAATGAGAATTATTTTATTATGTTTTTTATTATTTTATTACTTCCCTTCTACGTGACTTTACCGAAAGAACCAAGAAGATCTCACCAAACTGTTATGGCTAATGTGTCGTATTAACCAGGTTTAACATCTTGCCACGGTGGTGAGATGTTACATCTCTCGCCTGGTACGCAGGAGGTCGTGGGTTCAAACATGTCCCTTGACTACTGTGCATTTGGAGTTTGCTAATTCTCTCACCGTGGTTGCGTGGATATTTCTCCAGCTTCTCCGGCTTTGCCTGCTCCCCCCCCTCCACATTTAGATAACTTGGTTGCTCTTGGTTCTTTCGGTAAAGTCACGTAGAAGGGAAGTAATAAAATAATAAAAATAAAACATTATAAAATATTTTATTATATTATTTTGTTTTATTATATGATTTTATATTCTTTTATTTTATTATGTTTTATTTGTATTTTATTACTTCCCTTCTACGTGACTTTACCGAAAGAACCAAGAAGATGAATCCCTGCAGTCACGAAAGCTTTAAATCGAAATTTTACTTGGTTGCTGCTATAAATTTCCACTTGTAATTGTGACGCTCTTAGCCACCAAACTGAGCTATTACGTGTGGCCAGGTTGCCTCTGACGAAGAGCCGATAGCTTCGTGGACTTTTCACTTGACAAATACAATTGTTTAGTGATTCGTTTTTCATCAATGTCACTCATTATCAGGGCTGTGACACTTTATATTTGTATATATTTTTTTACGAGACGATTTTCCCAGCTGGAGGGCAATCCGGTCAACCTGCGTTGGACCAATTGACACTTTGTCCACTTGAAACTTTCACTTCCAATTGACACTTTAAATTTACACTTTCACCTAAAATTGACACTTTCCATTGACATTTTCCATTGACATTTTCACTTGATACTTTCAATTGACACTTTGGCCAATTGACACTTTAACGAGCGTCCTTTGTGGGATCCCCTGCCAGCCCTCCGATTGGGTTGCTGGCAGACACCCGCTGACTAAAGCCGCCAACCCATCACAGCTTCGGGGCAAGGATGAGGAGCATCGTGGAGCTTCATTGCGTCCTCGACGCAAGCCTCGCGCGCACTCGTCAGAAGCCGACCAATGGGAGGGGGCCTCCGGTTTCTCGCATCTGCCCACGTGCGTTGGGCCGTGACCACTTTGCTTTTCCCCCCTTCCACGCCTGTGGTGGTTGGGAACGACATCTCTCGCGGGGACCAAAGAACGCACCACAAGCATTGGAACCTCATTTGCCAGTCATCTGGTCCAACACCATGTGAGACTAGGCTCTAAGGAAAGCTGTATCGGGTGTGGACCAATCAACTTCAAGGACAATGCACACATTATCAGAGTTATGTTTTTTGTTTGCATTATGACTGCAGGTATTGTGGTCTATGCAAACATGACTCCTTGTAAAAAAAGGTGTCAGTTTTGTTGCCAGATAAAAGGGTAAAAAAACAATTATCAACGCACCACAACGCCCTCGGGCAAACTTACCTGGATTGGTCCTCGAGTTAGCGGTGGGAATGACCGGGGAAGGGGGGGGGGTGCAATCTCCCCCACAGCACGACTGCTGCCACTGGCGGCAACGATGGTTACGAAGTGGGCGAGTTAAAATAGGAAATGATCTTGTGAGAGAGAAATGTTTCGAGGCGGGACTTGAAGATCCCTACCAAACCGGAATCCGCTGACAGCCTTCGGCAGTGAGTTCCACCATCCATGACCCCCTACCTACATTCTTGGTTCTTTCGGTAAAGTCACGGAGAATGGAAATAATAAAATAATAAAACAATACCTACCATTACCTCTACTGACCCCACCTACCCCTACTGACCCCACCCACCCCTACCCCCATTGACCCCACCCACCCCTACCCCCATTGACCCCACCCTCCCCTACCCCCATTGACCCCACCCACCCCTACCCACATTGACCCCACCCACCCCTACCCCCATTGACCCCACCCACCCCTACCCACATTGACCCCACCCACTGCCACCACCTTCTGCACACGGCCCGCACCCCACCCCCCCCTTTCCATAGCCCCTCTGCACTCGGTCCAGCCCCCTGTCCAGAAGTCGGGGCAGGGCCTGAACAGAGAGAGGCGGGGGCCTGAAGAATAAGGGGTGGGGCTTAAAGGATAATAGGGGGGGCTTAAAGTGGAAGAAGGTGGAGCCTGGTGAGGATGGGCAGGGCCTAGCCAGGAAGGGTTGGGGCCTACAGGTGTAAGGTGAATGTACAAGCACGTGCAGGCATGGTGGCTTTGGTGCTGCAGTTGTTGATCACAGGCCGACGAGTTAAACATTGGGTTGACTGTCGTGCCACGAATATTACTCCCAGTGGCAGGGGTTTTATGGAGCGTGCTGCCCCCTACTGTGTCAAACAGAGATCTACATTTTGACTTAAAACTTTCGTGACTGTAGGAATTCATATTCTTTGGTTATTTTGGTAAATTGACGTAGATAGAAAATAAAATGTAAAAAAAATATTTTTTATTTAGTTTTTTTATTGTATTTTTATTTTCTATCAAGACTATAATAGGATGAGATTTGGATAAAAGTCAATTCACCAGAATGTAAAGTTTACCTGTGGGAAGGGAAATATCTCCACAACCTGGGGGGGCACCAGTGGGGAGTTTAAGAACCGGGGGGTGGACCGGTCGTGAGTGTATTACCGAGTGTATTTGTGTACGCGGGTGAGAACTCCAGAGACCAGGGGGGGGGGGGGGGGGCTAGCGTCTCATCTGCAGACCGTGTGGCAGGGGAGGGGAGGATCTCTAAAAATGTCAAAAGCAAATAGACACCAACACGCAAAACAACCACCGTGCCATCGCACGAGAGATCGAAACTATATCGCACGATCATCATAAATCAACGTGAAGTGATACATTCCCTGCAGCGTGAGTTTGTAGACTGATCATTGTACCATTACACATTCATTCAGTGAGTCTCCATGCAAGTCCCTGGGTCTACATGTGATTCTACGGCAGGGGTGGGGAATGTCCGGCCCGTGGGCCGTACAAGGCCCACGAAATCATTGGGCCGGCCCCGGGGTCATCGCCCAGTAAGTCCGTATGAAAGTAAAAATGCACAATATCGAGTTCAGAACGGGAATGCTGTGACACGGGGGACTAAGCGGGAAGCAGGCGAGGTGGCGTGCCCCATCTTCACAGACGGCTTCAAACGGAGTCACAACATTCTGCGCGCACCTACCCAATGTCAGCGCAACCCACGAAATTCCAAGGCGTTCTTGGAATGCTGCATGTTGGCAGGTCGCGAATAGGGAATTCCTATACATTTAGTAACCCGCGGATATTAAAAACTCGCGAATCCAGAACCCGGTAATAGCACGAAAAACAATAATACGTACGATAAGCGTAATTTCACGAATAACAAGATGATATTCGTAATTTCATGAATAACAAGATGATATTCGTAATTTCATGAATAACAAGATGATATTCGGCGCACCCCTATCTGCGTTGTGGACTCCGTCGCCCCCTTCACCCGCACGAGATGCTGAGCTTTTGCTTGGGTTGTTGGGTTGCATACGCTTAAGACACAGACTAATAATAATTTACTGGTAGGAACCTCCTGGTTACACCAGCCCACAAGGGATTATTGTGTCCGTCCGTCCGTCGTGAATCCAAAAATGAGAGGGGTGGGGCTGGGTGGAGAGGGGAGGGTGGGGAGGGGCTGGGTGGGGAGGGGCTGGGTGGGGAGGGGAGGGTGGGGAGGGGCTGGGTGGGGGGTGGGGAGGGGCTGGGTGGGGAGGGTGGGGCTGGGTGGGGAGGGGCTGGTCACCCCGTGGTGCCCTTATAAAACTCAACGTTTAACCTACTCACGCCGGCTTGTTGACCCTGGCCATTGACCGAGCGACCCAACGTTCCTACCAGTTCCCTCCGCAGGAATGTGTTGCCGATTTGGTTTTGTTGATGTGGTCACGGTGGTGGTGGTTGTCGTTGTTGAACCTTGCGGCATCGCCCCCCGGTACAGACACCACCGCAGACGGTACGCGACAGAACATCTCACGTAGTATACAATGTATGTTTAATGCAATAGAATACCGTATATATTTATATATATCATATCTATATATTTTATACGCTTACCGGCACCGTCATCAAACCAATTTAAATACTGTCCAGACACTACTCTGTTCCTCGGGGTTCCTCCACTCGCTTTAGTTTAGGCAGTGGCAGAGCTGTCGGGTGTGCAGGCGGTGCAACTGCTCTGGTGGAGGCGCGTGTGGGCGAGGGGGTGGAAATTGTATGGAAGGGCCCCATTTAACCCCTTGCACCAGAGTCCATGCCCGACCAAGATACTCTACACTGAGACCCAGAAAACCATAGTCCCGCACTGTGAGACATCGACTCGCACAGAGACCCATAGACTCACACTGACAGCCATAGACTCGCATAGAGTCCCATAAACTCGCTCTGAGAGCTATCGACTCACACCGAGACCCATAGACCCGCTCTAAGAGCCATAGACTCGCACAGAGACCCATATACTCGCTCTAAGAGCCATAGACTCGCACAGAGACCCATAGACTCGCACTGAGACCCATAGACTCCCACTGAGAGCCATAGACGCATAGACTTGCATTGAGACCCATAGAATTGTACTGACAGCCATAGACTCGCATAGAGACCCATAGACTCACATAGAGACCCATGGACTCGCACTGAGGGCCACAGACTCGCATAGAGACCCATAAACTCGCTCTGAGACCCATAGACTCGCACTGAGAGCCACAGACTCACATAGAGACCCATAGACTCACATAGAGACCCATAGACTCGCACTGAGACCCATAGACTCGCACTGAGGGCCACAGACTCACATAGAGACCGTTAGGGTCAATACAGGGCCCCATGCCAACCAGCGACGCCACTGGGCTGAGTGGGCATAACCACGTGCCGTGGTACGGTGGCGTCGTAGTGGAGCGCAACAATCACCGCCACAACGACCACGAACAAGCATGGCGATTCATAATCAATTCATAATCGAGGTTTTTGGGGTTAGATCGCGTGAGTGTAAATGTTGCGTCGTAACCCTCCACCACCCGACACAGCCAGTGAGGTTTGTCACGTGAACAAAACGCGCCGATGAGTTACTAGTGGAGTGTTCGTGTGTAGTGTAGTGTATAGTGTAGTGTATAGTGTAGTGTATAGTGTAGTGTAGAGCATAGTGTATAGTGTAGTGTAGCGTGTAGTGTATAGTATAGTTACTTCAGCCCACCGGTGTGTTGGAGTGTAAATCCACAACTTTCACAATCTGAGTGCCGCGACGTTTCGCTGGTAACTACAACAACCAGCGTCAGAACCGTGAAGCGATGCACAGACAGAGCCAGATGAGATCGTCGCTGTGAGTCGATCAGGTGCGTATCAACATTAGCGACCGCAACTACCACAACAATACCAGCACAGCAAGAACAACAACAACAACAATCATGATCGCATCGTCAACAACAATAGTCACAGCTGTCACGGTAATGGTAGGAGGCACGAATGTGACGCGTGAGAGTGTGGTTGGTGATGTCCATGGTGATGTGGTTGGTGATGTGGTTGGTGATGTGGTTGGTGATGTGGTTGGTGATGTGTTTGGTGATGTGGTTGGTGATGTGGTTGGTGGTGGCCATGGTGATGTGGTCGGTGATGTGGTTATTTCACGAGTTCAACCTTTACCATCACCTCTATCGCCATCATCGCCAATATCACCACCATCTACATCACCGCAATCACTACCACGAACATCACCACCACCAACATCACCTCCTCAAACACCACCACAACCATCGGTGTCACCACCACCATCACCTTTGCCGTCACCACCAACACCGTCACCACTATCACCATTATCACCAACATCACCACCACCACCACCTACATCACCTCCTCAAACGTCACCACCACCATCGTTGTCACCACCATCATCACCTTTGCCATCACCACCAACACCGTCACCACCTCCACCACCTCCACCACCGCCGCCACCGCCACCACCACCGCCCTCCTCCTCTTCGTCTTCCTCGTCGACCGTCAACTGAATCTGAAACTTGGCTCGTATCTTCTGACCGCCATTACCGCCACCGTCGCCATCGCCGCCATCGTCATCACAGTGGGTCTTGTACCACTCCCTGTTCTCCTGGAGTTGGTCCACGATGCCCTGCGCGTCGGGATACACCAGCTCGGCCCAGGTCTCCCACAGCGGGTGGGCCACGTAATCGATGAAGTAAACCTGAGAAGAGGGAACAGAGGAGAGCGATGGGGGGCAGTCGGGGGGGGGGGGGGGGCGAGAGAATAGAAGGAATAGGAGGGGAGGCGCGGATACGGTCCGAGACATGTCGTTTGGTTTCTCCGTGAACATTGAACATAAAGCAGACATGAAACACGGTAGGACAAACATCTCAGCCGTGGCAGATCACTGTTACAATTCAGTGGGCTCACATGACATTGACTTCGCCAAGACAGAGGTGCTCTGCAAGCCATCTGGCTACCATGAGAGATTCGTTCATGAGGCGATCCACATATACAAACACAGAGACAATTTCAACCGAGAAGATGGATTCTGGCTCGGCAATCATTGGAAGGACGTAATAAACCATTTCGAATCTTAACTGATTGTGTTCACGTTTACGGTGACTTTCAGACCACAGTCCACTCACTGGCATGACTATATATCTTGTATTCTCCGCAGGGAATGGAGTCTTTGCTCCGCTGCAAGTCTCCCGACACCACTCTCCCATTGACATATTTCGTAGCTTCCTCTTAGTACCTTTCACGCGACGGTCAATGGTATAGTGTATAGCAGATTATATAATGATAAATAGTATAAAAGTGTAATGTTTAATATAATGTATAAGGTAATATAGTATCGTAATTGTATAGTGAATATACAGCAGTGTGGTATACAGTAGGGTGGGTAGAATAATACATAGTGTAATATTACAATGTATAGTCTAAGGTATAGGGTGGTGTATAGTAGCGCAGTATATAATTTAATGTTGGGTTTGTCTATGGCAGTATATAGTACGGGGTAGATCCGTGTGATGTAAGGAAAAAGTTTAGCTGGAGGCATATTATATTTTTTGCGACATAGAATTGTAATGTATGACTTACTGTTAGTAGCTCAGCTTATTGGAGAGTATATTTAGTATATTGATGATATTGATGTAGTTCATATTTTAGTTTTTTACGTGGTGGTTTGGCTGCTGTAGCTCCTTACTATTAAAATTCCTTCCCTTTATTATTGCTAACCCTACTCCTCCCTTTGTTGCTGCTAATTCCTACATAATGCACGGGCATAGTATGACTTTGAGACCCCCCCCCCACCTCCTACGCATTCCACAAGTAGTGACTAATCCCATATCTGCATTTTCCATAAATATGCTAAATTCCTCTGTTGATATGCAAATTCATTTGTCAAGGCGCTTTTCCTCTCCTAACCCAGCTTAAATATAGGCTGCCAAGCTTGGTGGTGTTCATTCAGACGCTGTCTTTCCGACAGACCTGTTCTTCACCTGAGGACGGCTGCTTGCGTTGTGGCCGAAACGTCGTAAGAATATTTATATTATTATGTTTATTTTAATTATTTTATTATCTCCCTTCTACGTGACTTTACCGAAAGAACCAAGCAGATGAATCCCTGCAGTCACGAAAGCTTTAAATCGAAACTTTGTAGCTTGTCGAATTCCTCCGGTGCCAGAACATACTCCGCCGATTCCGTGGCCTCGGACCCGCGACCACGGAATCGGCGTAGGGGTCCCCCTCACGGCCTCACCTGCGCCGTCTCGATGGAGGCCGCGTCGGGGTCGCACATGGCGCTGGGCGGCAGGCCCAGGCCCAGCTCGCGCTGCCCCTGCAGGCGGAACTCTCGCGACACGAGGCGCGTCCAGTGGCGGCTCAGGGCCAGCGGCTTGGCCGGGTTGCCCAGGTCCGCGCAGTGCAGCAGGCTCTTCAGCACCTGCCGGCGGCGGCGGGCAAGGGGGGTAGCAGGGGCAGCAGTAGCAGGGGCAGCAGTAGCAGGGCCAGCAGCAGCAACAGTAGCAGGGGCAGCAGTAGCAGGGGCAGCAATAGCAGGGCCAGCAGCAGCAACAGTAGCAGGGGCAGCAGTAGCAGGGGCAGCAGTAGCAGGGGCAGCAGTAGCAGGGGCAGCAGTAGCAGGGGCAGCAATAGCAGGGGCAGCAGTAGCAGGGGCAGCAGTGGCAGGGGCAGCAGTAGCAGGGGCAGCAGTAGCAGGGGCAGCAGTAGCAGGGGCAGCAGTGGCAGGGGCAGCAGTAGCAGGGGCAGCAGTAGCAGGGGCAGCAGCAGCAGGGGCAGCAGTGGCAGGGGCAGCAGTGGCAGGGGCAGCAGTAGCAGGGGCAGCAGTGGCAGGGGCAGCAGTAGCAGGGGCAGCAGTGGCAGGGGCAGCAGTAGCAGGGGCAGCAATAGCAGGGGCAGCAGTAGCAGGGGCAGCAGTGGCAGGGGCAGCAGTAGCAGGGGCAGCAATAGCAGGGGCAGCAATAGCAGGGGCAGCAGTGGCAGGGGCAGCAGTAGCAGGGGCAGCAGTGGCAGGGGCAGCAGTAGCAGGGGCAGCAATAGCAGGGGCAGCAATAGCAGGGGCAGCAGTGGCAGGGGCAGCAGTAGCAGGGGCAGCAGTAGCAGGGGCAGCAATAGCAGGGGCAGCAATAGCAGGGGCAGCAATAGCAGGGGCAGCAGTAGCAGGGGCAGCAGTAGCAGGGGCAGCAGTAGCGGCAGGGGCAGCAGTAGCAGGGGCAGCAGTGGCAGGGGCAGCAGTAGCAGGGGCAGCAATAGCAGGGGCAGCAATAGCAGGGGCAGCAGTGGCAGGGGCAGCAGTAGCAGGGGCAGCAGTAGCAGGGGCAACAGTAGCAGGGGCAGCAGTGGCAGGGGCAGCAGTAGCAGGGGCAGCAGTGGCAGGGGCAGCAGTAGCAGGGGCAGCAGTAGCAGGGGCAGCAGTAGCAGGGGCAGCAGTGGCAGGGGCAGCAGTGGCAGGGGCAGCAGTGGCAGGGGCAGCAGTAGCAGGGGCAGCAGTAGCAGGGGCAGCAGTGGCAGGGGCAGCAACAGCGGCAGCGGCAGCGACTATGGGTCTCTGTGTGAATCTAAGTACGTATGTATCGTCAATTTCTTTCGCACCGTGCGTAGCCAAACGTGATAATTACATATAATCAGAGGTGCAGGGGAAGCACAACAAACTTAACACAAGAAGCATTTATAGGGAAAAGAGTTTTAAATCTAGATTCAAGATGATTTAAAAGTGCATAGCACCTATTGGCTCCCTAACATCGGAAGCAAGAGCGTTCCAGACGGCCGCAGAAGCGCGCGCGTCTGAAAGCGCCACGCGACGCGGTGAACCCCGTCTTTGTTCGACGGTGAGCCAAAAGCCGCCGCGATGACGGGCCCTGAGGTCACGTGGTGGTGGTGGTGGTGGTGGTGATGGTGGTGGTGGTGATGGTGGTGATGGTGGTGGTGGTGATGGTGGTGATGGTGGTGATGATGGTGATGGTGGTGATGGTGGTGGTGGTGGCGATGGTGGCGGTGATGGTGATGGTGGTGGTGATGGTGGTGGCGATGGCGGTGGTCATGGTGGTGATGGTGGTGATGGTGGTGATGGTGGTGATGGTGGTGGTGATGGTGGTGATGGTGGTGATGGTGGTGGTGATGGTGGTGATGGTGGTGATGGTGATGGTGGTGATGGTGGTAATGGTGGTGGTGATGGTGGTGATGGTGGTGATGGTGGTGGTGATGGTGGTGATGGTGGTGATGGTGATGGTGGTGATGGTGGTGATGGTGGTGATGGTGATGGTGGTGGTGATGGTGGTGATGGTGATGGTGGTGGTGGTGATGGTGGTGATGGTGATGGTGGTGATGGTGATGGTGGTGGTGGTGGTGGTGATGGTGGTGGTGATGGTGGTGGTGGTGGTGGTGATGGTGGTGATGGTGATGGTGGTGATGGTGATGGTGGTGGCGATGGCGGTGGTGGTGATGGTGGTGATGGTGATGATGGTGGTGATGGTGGTGATGGTGATGGTGGTGGTGATGGTGGTGATGGTGATGGTGGTGGTGGTGATGGTGGTGATGGTGATGGTGGTGATGGTGATGGTGGTGGTGGTGGTGGTGATGGTGGTGATGGTGGTGATGATGATGGTGGTGGTAGTGATGGTGGTGATGGTGATGGTGGTGGTGATGGTGGCGATGGCGGTGGTGGTGATGGTGGTGATGGTGATGATGGTGGTGATGGTGATGGTGGTCAGACCGCCCCCCACTGCTACTCAATGTGCACCGCGAGGGAGAGTCGCGGTGGCGTTTGGCGACGATCGTGGGGGGGGGGGGGGACGACCACCTGAATGCGGTCCGTGTAGGAGTCGAGCAGGAGGACTCCAGAGGACGTCAGCTTCTTGGTCTCCACCATCGTCTTGAGGTCGGCCAGGAGATTCATGTGCTTGGACATGTCCGTGGCGAGCACCTGCAAGATTGCGGCCGAGGCAACGGTGGTGCGATTTAACACGTGGCAGGCTTTCGCGACCAATATTATTCATAATACAGGTTTTGGGTCAGATCGCGTTTTTTAAAAATGTGTCGTAACCCTCCACCACCCGACACGGCCAAACAGTAAAAAATGGGTCACGTTTTTCAAAGGACAAATTATTTGATTTCTTTAGCCCACCGGTGTGCTGAAGAGAGAATGAACAGCATTTTTAAATTTGAGTAGTACGACGGTTCGCTGATAATTACAATCAGCTTCATCGGGCAAGAATGGTGAAGCTCTCCTGTTGCTTCCGATCTTAAACAGTGCGCAGGAGGTCGTGGGCCCTATCCCAGACCCTGACGATGCCTGCTGTATGTTTGGAGTCCGCGTGTTATCCCTCTCCCCGTTGTGGTAGCGTGGATTTTTCTCCGCATCACGCTATTTTTAAATCCTTTATATTAAGTTCGCTTGCTTGCTTGCGTGCTTGCGTGCTTGCTTGCTTGCTTACGACCGTGCAAATCTTTCGGTCGTTTTTTAACCCACTTCCCGTGATCCAATCGAGCTGACATTTTGCACACAGACTCGTTGTGCGTGACAATTAATGTTCGTGAAAAATTTTTCCCAAAATGTTACACTGTTTAGGGATTTTTTTTTATATTTAATTACCAATTGCTTAATGGTGGCAGACAATCATCTGACCCATAGGTGGCAGCCATCTCAAGCCAGAGGACGAGAGGACTCTAGCCGCCACGCATATAAAGGATTTATAGTGAAAAACTTTATTTTTACGGGTCATACTTGTTTTCCCCCCCCTCCACATCGCTGCGCTTTCAGATAATTTGCCCGCTGCTATAACTGCCCATATGCGACAATGATGTCAGCCGCAGCGTTGGCTTTGTGAGCTTTAGCTGGGAAAATATAATGGTTTAATGTAGTAGCTGTTGTCAGCAGCAGCAATAGTAGCAATGGTATTGTCATCGTCGTCGATACATTAATTAAATGAATGAGAATAATCAGCAGCAACAGCTTCATTATCTTTAGTGGCAGCAGCATCATTGCTGTTATCAGCAGTACGTATGTATGTTGAGCTTCTTTCGCACCATACGTAGCCAACCGTGCTAATCAGAGGTGCGGGGAAAACAAACTAAACATAAAAAAGCAGTTCTGAAGAAATTCGTTTTCGATCGAGATTTAGAAGAAATAACATTATTGTCACCACCACCACGAGCAGGAGATGCAGCAGGAGCTTATCTTCATGAAAGCCTTGACAGACTTTAGGAGCAAGTGCTGTTAGCGAGCACCTATGAAGGCTAAAATGGCACACGAGGGGGTGGGTGGCCAGCACCACACCCCAAGTGGCAATGTTTACACACCGCACCAGGTACTCATTTGAGGCTGAGTCGAATGACTACCATCACCACCACCACTAACTCACCACCATCACGATCTCAACCATCGCCATCATCATCAACACCACCCCAACTACAACCATCACCACCGCCACCTCTCACCATGTCGATCACCATCTTGCGCAGCGCCATTCTCTGTTTGCTGCTGAGGTTTTGGAAAATGTCGCAGTCCCCTTCCTGGAGGAGACGGAATCCCGTGGCGAGGTGGTGATTCTCCAGCACAGACTCGTCGTTATAGAGCAGGGCCAGCTCCGAGTCTACATGGAGACACGCGGGGACACGCGGGGACACGCGGAGACACAAGACAGAACTCTGTCTATCGATCTTCTTGGTTCTTTCGGTAAAGTCACGTAGAAGGGAAATAATAAAATAATAAAAATTTTACATAATAAAATACATTCTCACAACGTTTCGGCCACAACGCAAGCAGCCGTCCTCAGGTGAAGAACAGGTCTGTCAGAAAGACAGACCTGTTCTTCACCTGAGGACGGCTGCGTCGTGAGAATTGTATTTTATTATGTTTTATTTTTATTATTTCCCTTCTACGTGACTTTACCGAAAGAACCAAGAAGATCAATCCCTGCAGTCACGAAAGCTTTAAATCGAAAAATTATGTCTATCGAGTCAAAGTATCACCACTGCCATCGTCCATCCTGAGTCCTGGATACTCAACGACTTAAGGTCTTGGGACTCATGGTGTTGAGTCTCAGGGTTTTGAGACTGAGGGACACGGGGTCTTTAGACTCAAGGTCTTGTGATTGAGGGCTTTAGAGACTCAATGTATTGAGACTCAGGAACTTAGGGTGTCCAGACCAGTGGCGGCTCCTGCAAAATCTCTCAGGGGGGGGCAAATGTCTGGATGATTGATAAGGATAAGGTCCACCCATGCAATGGATACATTAACAGCTTAAGCATGTAAAGGCAACTTCACTTCTTTAATATTAATGAAAAATAAAGTGACTCTTACAATACATCTACTTGTTTGTTTCTATACTCACTATTAATAGAATCCACTCAAGTTTCTTTTATTAAAGATTCCACTAGGTGGCGACAAATTATATTGTTGGATGAAACGTGCTTACGTATGATGACGTAAGCACGTTAGGGCGAGCCCTCCCGGAAGTCATAGAGAATGCATTGGAGCGCCCCCCGGTCGAAAAAAAACATCTTTGAATGTAAGTCTATGGGAATACTCGGGGCGATTCTCAGCTGGAGTGAAATCGCCCAAAAAGAGGCGGTACTCCACAGAACGTGACATGACGCTGATTGGACTATATCCAGAGGCACAGTGACGGCTAGCGTGACTCTGTGGTTGAATGACATTGGTGGTGCGTCGCCCAATCGCCCTAATGAAGAAACCGTCCCTGGTCCAGACACAACGACTCAAGTCTTCTGACTTATGTCTCAGAGTTTTGAGACTCCGGATCTTGAGACTCAAGTGTCTTGTGACTCAGGGACTCGCTGCTGTGGAGGAGTGTGAGTCTGAGTCAGGGTCTCAGGGGGTGTGGAGGGTTTGAGTTCAGGTCTCGCTGGCGTTGATGAGGAGCTGAACTCGTGATCCGCCGCTCCATCTCTACGCCAGATGTACTCACTGGTGTTGATGAGGAACTGGTTGGAGACCCCGGGGTGATCGACGTCGTGAATGGAGCTGGCAAAGATGGCAGCAAACACTTCCAGGTCGGTGAAGACAGCCTAGAGGTCAGAAAGCAGAGGTCGCGACCTTTGACCTAACGGCTCTACGACCGAACTTGTGAAGCTTTGTTCTTACAATCTGCATCTTCTACGCCTCTGGTTCTTAGCCTTTACTGCAGCCATGCACCCCTTTGGTTCTCAATCGTAAAACAAATGTATCTTAAACTTATAGGGTTTGATGAAATAAAGTAAGTTGTTACTTACGTGCCTCTGCTTAATTTGTGTTTAACTGATTTACCTTCTAAAAGAATCTCTAGATTTGAAGCTTTCGTGACTGCAAGGATCCATACTCTTAGTTCTTTCGGTAAAGTCACGTAGGTAAAAAAATGAAATTAAAATTAATAAAAAATAAAACAATAAAATCACGACGTTTCGGAGGCAACACAAGTCTCCGTCATCAGGTGGGACCGTCACAGCCAGATTTGCTGCAGCCATGTCTCGCGCCCCCAGAAAGGGCATCTCGCACCCCAGGTTAAGAAACAACTCCTCTACACAACGAGCTCCCGCACGCGATACCGATTTCCCTGCTCCGCCTGTTGGGTGGAAGTCCTCTCTGATGACTTCCATCCCTCGGCCTCCCACTCCGTCGTCATCCTTTGACCGTCAACCGCCGTCCCCCTTCTCGCGACGAGCCCAGCCCCAGGCCTGAGGCTTTCACGTTTACATTTAAACGGTGCCATCGTCCTGCGCATATCCTCTAATCCGCGTGTTCCTCTCTCTCTCTCTGTCTGTCCCTCGACGCGATTCCAAGCGTGCGTCTCTGCACGCTTCTTTGCGAACTCTTCAGATTCGATTCTGAACGTTTTCGTCAATGGCCGCGTTTCGGCACCACACGTCACAGCGAGCGCTCTTCCTGACGATATCAGGAAGCCACTGGAGCTCTGGAGCTTGAAAACTAGTTTCTTTAAATCTGCTTTTCGTGTTTAGTTTGTAGGCCTTCCTCATTACACACACACAGAGCGCTTTCCACAAATTAACCACAATGCTTCGCTGATCTCGTCAAGGAGCGTAAACCATCATCACGCGAACTCCGCTCGTCATCCTCACGGAAGCGGCTCTTGGCCGGCCGTTGAACAAAGACGGCCACCGCATCGCGGCGCTTTCGAATGCGCTTTTGTGGCCGTCTGGAACGCTCTTCCTTCCGACACTAGGAAGCGACTGGAGCTATGCACTTTTAAATCGTCATCTAGACTGAAAACTAATTTCTTTAAAACTGAATTATGTGTTTAGATTGTTGCCTTTCCCCCACACCTCCGATTGGTGCAAGTGCTGTTAGCGAGCACCTATGAAGGCCAGCACGGCACACGAGGGGGTGGGTGGCCAGCACCATGCCCGGCCGCCTTTGTCTCCCCAGTGGCGATGTTTACTACACACCGCACCAGGTACTCATTTGAGGCTGAGTCGACCAAGGGGAGGCCCAGGACCGGTTCAGATATTCACCACCGATGTTGGCCGTGAGCGGGAATCGAACTTGGGTTCATAGCACAGCGTACTATCAACGAAGTGGCTCACCACCATCACCACCATCATCACCACCACCGCCACCATCTCCCCCTCCACCGCCATCACCACCACCATCACCACCACCATCACCACTACCACCATCACCACCACCATCGTCACCACCACCATCACCACCACCACCATCACCACCACCACCACCATCATTGCCCCCTCCACCACCACCATCACCACCACCACCACCATCACCACCATCACCATCTCCACCACCACCACCACCACCATCATTGCCCCCTCCACCACCACCATCTCCACCACCACCATCTCCACCACCATCATCACCACCACCATTGCCCCCTCCACCACCACCACCATCATCTCCCCCTCCACCACCACCATCACCACCACCACCATCTCCCCCTCCACCACCACCACCCCCTCCCCCCCCTCCCCCTCCACGGCTCTCACGTTGAGCGCCAGCGCGTTGAGCAGCACGTGCGTGGAGTGTGTGACGTCGGCGGCGTGCAGGCTGTTGTGGAAGGGCACGTGGCGGTGGTAGTGGGACTCGAGCGACAGCAGGAACGAGACGAGGCGGCGAGGGGGCACGCGGAACGCGCGCAGGAGGTCACGCTCCTGCCACGGGGAGGAGGAGCGGGGGGGTGGAGGAGGGGGGGGGGGGTACACCGAGGAAGCTATTAAATCCTTTATATTAAGTTCGCTTGCTTGCGTGCTTGCGTGCTTGCTTGCGCGCTTACGACCGTGCAAATCTTTCGGTCGTTTTTTAACCCACTTCCCGTGATCCAATCGAGCTGACATTTTCCACACAGACTCGTTGTGCGTGACAATTAATTTTCGTGAAAATTTTTTTCCAAAATTTTACACTGTTTAGGGAATTTTTTTAAAATATTTAATTACAAATTGCTTAATGCTGGCAGACAATCATCTGACCCAGCCATCTCAAGCCAGAGGACGAGAGGACTCTAGCCGCCACGCATATAAAGGATTTAGAGTGAAAAACTTTGTTTTTACGGGTTAATTTTTTTTTTAACTTACTCTACGTATCTTCTTGGTTCTTTCGGTAAAGTCACGTAGACTTTACCGAAAGAACCAAGAAGATGAATCCCTGCAGTCACGAAAGCTTTAAATCGAAATTTAACTCTACGTATGTAATAATAGGGGTTTCCCTCTTTTTTCTGGCAACAAAACTGAAACCTTTTTTACAAAGATTCGTGTCTGCGTTAACCACAATACTTGCAGTCAAAATGCAAACAAAAACACACTATGATAATATATTGGTATTGTCCTTGAAACTGATTGGTCCACACCAAGGGGACGGCTTTCTTTTGAGCCTCGACCCAATTGGTGCTCGACCAGAGGACGCCAAAAGGCGTACAGCTCATAGACAATGCTGATTCAAAGACAAACACATTCCTGCGGAGGGAGCTGGTAGGAACGTTGGGTTGCTCAGTCAATGGCCAGGGTCAACGGCGGCGTGGTGTATCCGCAAATATGCCCGACTGTGAGGGCGGGCCGGCGTGAGTAGGTGAAACGCTGAGTTTTATAAGGGCACCACGGGGTGACCAGCCCCTCCCCACCCAGCCCCACCCCCCACCCAGCCCCACCCTCCCCCTCCCCACCCCTCCCCACCCAGCCCCACCCTCCCCACCCAGCCTCTCCCCACTCTCCCCACCCAGCCCCTCCCCACCCAGCCCCACCCTCCCCACCCAACCCCTCCCCACCCAGCCCCTCCCCACCCAGCCCCTCTCCACCCAGCCCCTCCCTGCATGACGGACGGACACAATAATCCCCTGTGGGCTGGTGTAACCAGGAGGTTCCTACCAGTACAGAGTTTAGTTTAAATTGTCTTGCCCGCGAGGACACAGAGACTCAAGTCTCGCTGTTCCACTTGGGCATTGGCTCACCGTGAAGTGGCCCAGCGGTGGCGTTGTGCTTGCCGATCGATGCAGAGATTTTACGGCTCGAATCCCGCAAGCTGGCTGGATTCCAACTCAGCCATACGACCACAATAGAGGTTTTTTTTGTTGGGTTAGATCGCGTCAATATATAAATGTGTCGTCAAACCCGCCACCACCCGACACAGCCAACTAGTAAGGTTTGTCACGTAAACAGAACGTGGCCAATTCGTCACTAGTACAGCACCATCGGTGTGTTGGAGAGCAAAGCCACAACATTTACAATCTATCATCTCAGCCACTAAACAAAAACAACAGCCGCCGTTCGCCACTAGGTGGCGATGGTGTCACCATGGCACGCGCACCTGGACAAGATGCACTGCTGTAGGTACCTGGAGGATGGTGTAGACGGTGGTGGTGAGAGGGAGGTTTCCAGATAAGTTACCGATGGCGAAAACGTCCAATCCCCACTCATTCACACTCGCCAGCTCCTGTAACACGGCATCGTCACACGCGGCATCGTCAGAATCACAATATGTATTTATACTGGAGGAATCCGAGAAGCTATGAAGCTCTTTGTCACACGTTACGACAACAAACAGTACAAAAACACGATAGGAGTTCAGAGTGTAATGAAAGTAAGCAAATCACAATTTTTTGTTACGAATAAAAGTCAACTATTTAAATGTACCAGGTGAAGCCCACTGAGCTATTAGATGCCTTGTCAGAAGTGACCAGGCCACAAATTATAGCTCAACGAGGTGGCTTCATGGCTCCATCTCCTGCAAGGTGGGTTTATCGATCCATCTCCTGCAAGGTGGATTCATGGCTCCATCTCCTGCAAGGTGAATTTATCGATGCATCCCCTGATAGGTGGATTTTATCGATCCAGCTCCTGCAAGGTGGATTCATGGCTCCATCTCCTGCAAGGTGGCTTATTATCATCAAACGACAATTTGTAGCAGCCAAATACTTTAAACGCCGTGATGTTGATTCTAAATGTAGAGGGAAAAAACGGAGGGCCCGGAGAAAAATCCACGCGACCACGGGGAGAGAGAGAGACATCGCAAACTCCAAATGTACAGCAGCAGGCGTTAGGGTCAGGATCGAACCCACGACCTCCTGCACACCAGGCGAGGGAGTTAACATCTCCTAGCCACTGTGATGATGATGAGAGAGAGAGAGATACCACAAACTCCAAATACACAGCAGGTGTCAGAGTCAGGATCGAACCCACGACCTCCTGCACACCAGGCGAGGGAGTTAACATCTCCTAGCCACTGTGATGATGATGAGAGAGAGAGAGATACCACAAACTCCAAATACACAGCAGGTGTCAGAGTCAGGATCGAACCCACGACCTCCCGCACACCAGGCGAGGGAGTTAACATCTCCTAGCCACTGTGATGATGATGAGAGAGAGAGAGATACCACAAACTCCAAATACACAGCAGGTGTCAGAGTCAGGATCGAACCCACGACCTCCCGCACACCAGGCGAGGGAGTTAACATCTCCTAGCCACTGTGATGATGATGAGAGAGAGAGAGATACCACAAACTCCAAATACACAGCAGGTGTCAGAGTCAGGATCGAACCTACGACCTCCTGCACACCAGGCGAGGGAGTTAACATCTCCTAGCCACTGTGATGATGATGAGAGAGAGAGAGATACCACAAACTCCAAATACACAGCAGGTGTCAGAGTCAGGATCGAACCCACGACCTCCTGCACACCAGGCGAGGGAGTTAACATCTCCTAGCCACTGTGATGATGATGAGAGAGAGAGAGATACCACAAACTCCAAATACACAGCAGGTGTCAGAGTCAGGATCGAACCCACGACCTCCCGCACACCAGGCGAGGGAGTTAACATCTCCTAGCCACTGTGATGATGATGAGAGAGAGAGAGATACCACAAACTCCAAATACACAGCAGGTGTCAGAGTCAGGATCGAACCCACGACCTCCTGCACACCAGGCGAGGGAGTTAACATCTCCTAGCCACTGTGATGATGATGAGAGAGAGAGAGATACCACAAACTCCAAATACACAGCAGGTGTCAGAGTCAGGATCGAACCCACGACCTCCTGCACACCAGGCGAGGGAGTTAACATCTCCTAGCCACCGTGATGATGATGAGAGAGAGAGAGATACCACAAACTCCAAATACACAGCAGGTGTCAGAGTCAGGATCGAACCCACGACCTCCCGCACACCAGGCGAGGTAGTTAACATCTCCTAGCCACCGTGATGATGATGAGAGAGAGAGAGATACCACAAACTCCAAATACACAGCAGGTGTCAGAGTCAGGATCGAACCCACGACCTCCTGCACACCAGGCGAGGGAGTTAACATCTCCTAGCCACCGTGATGATGATGAGAGAGAGAGAGATACCACAAACTCCAAATACACAGCAGGTGTCAGAGTCAGGATCGAACCCACGACCTCCCGCACACCAGGCGAGGTAGTTAACATCTCCTAGCCACCGTGATGATGATGAGAGAGAGAGAGATACCACAAACTCCAAATACACAGCAGGTGTCAGAGTCAGGATCGAACCCACGACCTCCTGCACACCAGGCGAGGTAGTTAACATCTCCTAGCCACCGTGATGATGATGAGAGACACACAAGCTCCAAATGTACAGCAGGCGTCAGGGTCTGGATCGAACCCACGACCTCCTGCACACCAGGCGAGGTAGTTAACACCTCCTAGCCACCGTGATGACGAACTCACCTCAGCCAGTTTCTCTTCGTCTGCCACCGGTATCCCGAAGCGAGGAACCGGCTCAGAGTCCAACTCGGGGTGCGGGGAGAGGGGGCGCGGAGGGGTGGGGGGCACGGAGGAGGAGGAGGCGGTGGTGGTGGGGGAGTCAGAAGCTGGAGGCGAACCGGGACCCTCCACCTCGTGGTGGTCGTCTGCACGCGTGGAGCACACAGAAGACAAAACCACAAAGACGAAGATCCCCCGTACAGCCTGTAACACTTTCGGGGCAAGTGCTGTTAGCAAGCAGCACCTATGAAGGCCGGCACGGCACACGATGGGGTGGTGTGGCCAGCACCACGCCCGGCCGCCTTTGTCTCCCCAGTGGCGACGTTTACTGCACATCGCAACCAGATACTCAGTTGAGGCTGAGTCGAGTTTTATAATCTCCTGTAGACGTAGATTCCACCGGTCCTTCACGTTCTGCAGATAGAAATGCCACTGGTTCTTCATGTTCTGCAGATGTAGATGCCACTGGTTCTTCATGTTCTGCAGATGTAGATGCCACTGGTTCTTCATGTTCTGTAGATGTAGATGCCACTGGTTCTTCATGTTCTACAGATGTAGATGCCACTGGTTCTTCACGTTCTGCAGATGTAGATGCCACTGGTTCTTCACGTTCTGCAGATGTAGATGCCACTGGTTCTTCACCTTCTGCAGATGTAGATGCCACTGGTTCTTCACGTTCTGCATCTAGATGCCACCACCGCCATCTATTGCACGGCGGTTGAACTTACATCTCTCGGTCCGGACGGGCGACAGGACATGCGGACACGTTTGTTCGTATCTCTGAAAGTTCGTAAGTAGAGTGTGCGTAAGTAGAGCAGTCTCTGTATAGGTGCTCGCCCCAAGAATCTGATGAAGGTTAATCAAGGAGTCTTTGTCTTGTTTGTATATGTATGTCCGTTATGTGTCTATATGTGTGTGCCTCTCACCCAGGAAGGTGCTGGAGATGTACTCTGACACTTTGGTGCCAGAGAGACTGATCTCTGACAGTTGAGACAGCTCCCTGTTCAGCATCTTCTTAAACTGTACAACACACACAAAGACAAAGATCGTCCCTATCGCGTTAATGGACTGTTGGGGCAAGTGCTGTTAGCGAGCACCTATGAAGGCCGGCACGGCACACGAGGGGGTGGGTGGCCAGCACCACGCCCGGGTCGCGTTTGTCTCCCCAGTGTCGATGTTCACACGTCGCAACAGGTACTTATTTGAGGCCGAGTCCACCTAGGGGAGGCCCAGGACGGTTCAAATAATCATCACCGGTATTGGCCGTGAGCGGCAATCGAACTTGGGTTTCCAGATTCGAAGCGCACTGCGCTAAATTCTGTACTACCGCTCCACCATATACACACGCCACTGCACTACCGCTCCACCATACACACACGCCACTGCACTACCGCTCAACCATACACACACGCCACTGCACTACCGCTCCACCATACACACACGCCACTGCACTACCGCTCCACCATACACACACGCCACTGCACTACCGCTCCACCATACACACACGCCACTGCACTACCGCTCCCCACATAGATACAAGACAAAGTTTCCTGTATAGCCTTGACAGACTGTAGGGGCAAGTGCTGTTAGCGAGCACATATGAAGGCCGGTACGGCACACGAAGGGGTGGGTGGCCAGCACCACACCCGTCCGCGTTTGTCTCCCCAGTGGCGATGTTTACGCACCGCACCAGGTACTAATTTGAGGCCGAGTCGACCTAGGGGAGGCCCAAGACCGGTTAAAATAATCGTCACTGGTGTTGGCCGTGAGCGGCAATCGAACTCGGGTTTCCAGGTTCGTAGGTCAGCACGCTTAGCGCTCCCCACACGCACACATACGTGCACAAACACACACGTGCACACACACACACGTGCACACACACACACACGTGCACACACACACACACGTGCACACACACACGTGTGCACACACACACACACCTTGTTTGAGGCCATGCGGCTCACGGCCGTGTGAGTCTGAATCCCCTCCAGCTGCGCCAGGCTCCAGTCGAGTTCCTCCACAGACTCCTCCAGCACCACGCGAGTGCCTCCATCTGCACGGTGGGAGGTGGTGTCACATGGCAATCCGTGCACGTGGAGACGGTTGGTTCAACGGAGACGTGAACGCATCGGCTCTGCCCGTCCGTCTTTAACATGGGGTCACGATAACTCTGGTAAAACATTTTTATCCGATGTTCATGGGATTTTAATATCAATTTCAATCGCTATCAGGGACTTACCCTGGAGACGGTTGGCCAAATTGATGAAAGGGGTTACCCAAAACTTGGCGATGAAAACAAAAAGAAAATCGGCGCTAAAATCGATAATCCTCGTCCTCCGCCGTGATTACCATCACGCGCCGAGCGCTTTCCCCGACGTCACGTGCCGTGGTCACACAAATGCGTGCCGGAAGGCGTTACGGCTTCCATGCGTGTGCATGCTTTTGTCTTGTGTCGGTGTGTTCCTATACAACGCCGTGGGGCGTGTGGCGCCCTCTGTCGGCTGCAAGGGGTCACGTGAATCAACGACGATGTAACTCTTTCCATGGCCCCTTTATACTGGTAGGAACCTCCTGGTTACACCAGCCCACAGGGGATTATTGTGTCCGTCCGTCGTGCAGGGAGGGGCTGGGTGGGGAGGGAGGGGCTGGGTGGGGAGGGTGGGTAGGGGCTGGGTGGGAAGGGTTGGGCTGGGTGGGCGGGTGGGAGGGGTGGGGCTGGGTGGGGAGGGGCTGGTCACCCCGTGGTGCCCTTATAAAACTCAACGTTTAACCTACTCACGCCGGCTTGTGCCCGCCCTCACAGTCGGGCATATTTGCGGAATACACCACGCCGCCGTTGACCCTGGCCATTGACCGAGCAACCCAACGTTCCTACCAGCTCCCTCCGCAGGAATGTGTTTCATTTCACTTGATGGATATAAGGACATTTGATTGTACAGCATTGCCGCGTTATTTTCTGCGAGGGATACGTTCTGGAGACGCTTGTGTACAGCAAATTTCGCGGATGATATTGCCCTATGAAAACCTATCTTTTTGTTTCATTAATTACCTTAAATAAATACATAAGCTTTTTAACAAATTAAAATTATACCACAGACAAATATAAATTGGTTATAGTAAACGTGAATTAAATACAAATAAATATTAACAGTTTATAAATGAACTTCTCATATCTTATCACTTTATCTCTCATCACTGTATCTCATCACATTCTCTCTCACCACGTTCTCTCTCTCTCTCTCGATGCACCAGTCGTGTAGAGAATTCCAGATGCGATTCGCGAACAGCCAACATCGCGGACAGCCAATTTCGCGAATAACGAGGGAATGTTGTGCTTTGCGGATATCAAGTTCGCGAATAACGAGGGAATGTTGTACTTTGTTGATATCAAGTTCGCGAATAACGAGGGAATGTTGTACTTTGTTGATATCAAGTTCGCGAATAACGAGGGAATGTTGTGCTTTGCGGATATCAAGTTCGCGAATAACGAGGGAATGTTGTACTTTGTTGATATCAAGTTCGCGAATAACGAGGGAATGTTGTACTTTGTTGATATCAAGTTCGCGAATAACGAGGGAATGTTGTACTTTGCGGGTAGCAAGTTCGCGAATAACGAGGGAACGCTGTGCTTCCACCAGAGCTGAAAGGTGGGAGGCACAAAGTGGATTTTGCTGCACTGGGCACCAGGCACAACAGGTGTTATAGGATGCGGGAGGGGAGGCTAGGAACATGGGGATATCAGTGTATAAGAGTATGTGTGTGTATATGTGTACATTAATGTGAGAGCCTGTGTGTGTGTATATATACACGTCTGTGTCTTTGTCTACTTGTGTTAGTCGACTTAGCCTCAAATGAGTGCCTGGTGCGATGTCTAAACATCGTCACTGGGGAGACAAAGGCGGCCGGGCGTGGTGCTGGCCACCCACCCCCTCGTGTGTCACAGGTGCTCGCTAACAGCACTTGCCCCAACAGTCTGTTTAATGCTATATCCGGGGGACCTTTGTATGTGTGACATTGATTTACCATTGATGCTGCTTTGTGGAGTTGTGACTGTAGCTGCGGGGTTTTGCCTGAAACAACATCATCATCATCAGCATCATCATCATCAGCAGCATCATCATCATCAGCAGCATCATCAGCAGCATCATCATCATCAGCATCATCATCATCATCATCAGCAGCATCATCATCATCAGCAGCATCATCATCATCAGCAGCATCATCATCAGCAGCAGCATCATCATCAGCAGCATCATCATCAGCATCATCATCAGCAGCAGCATCATCAGCAGCAGCAGCATCAGCAGCATCATCATCAGCATCATCATCAGCAGCATCATCATCATCAGCAGCAGCAGCAGCATCATCATCAGCAGCATCATCATCATCAGCAGCATCAACAAATCTTGATTTGAAGCTTTCGTGACTGCAGGAATCCATACTCGTTGGTTCTTTCGGTAAAGTCACGTAGGTAGAAAATAAAATAACAAAGCTTGTGCTGACAGCAGGGCTGCTGTGTGATGGTGGTGAGTGCACTGGACTTGGAATGCAGAGGCCGCCGGTTCCATTCCATCTCCCGGAGCGGTGGTTCAAAACACAGAGTTGGCCAAATCGTCACTCCACAGAGGCCCATGAGAGCTTCTTCCAGTTGAGGTGCTTCTACCACTTCTACCGGCAGTGCCGTGAGCAAGCATTTGCAGGAGCTGCGCCTTTATGTCGATGTGATGGTGTGGCGGTGATGGTGTGGATGCGGTGATGGTGTGGATGCGGTGATGGTGTTCATGCGGTGCTTGATGATGCTGTGTGTGATGGTGGAGTGAATGATAATGATGATACTGTGTGTGATGATGGAGTGAATGATGATGATACTGTGGGTGATGATGGAGTGAATGATGATGATGCTGTGGGTGATGATGGAGTGAATGATGATGATGCTGTGAGTGATGATGGAGTGAATGATGATGATGCTGTGGGTGATGATGGAGTGAATGATAATGTTACTGTGTTATTTCATGAGTGATAATCTGTGTGATGATGCTGTCGATGATGATGATGATGATTTTGATGACTATTACCGGTTCGGTAGATTTGCCAGGAAGCTGATGTTGTTACGAACACTTCGAAGACTCGCCAGCACCTAGGTCATCAGCATTATTATCAACATCATCATCATCAAACGCAATCATCAACGGTATCAACATCAGCACTACAATCAAAATTATTATCGACACCACAGTCGTCCTTATCACCATAAACCACCTAACGACCAAATCACCCCGGAATACGCCCGATCTGGTCAGATATCGGAAGCTAAGCAGGCTTGAGCCGGGGTCGTGCTTGATTTGGGTGGCCGCTGTGGATAACACCGCAGGCAACTAGAGGTTGTGTCACACACTCATTGTTTTCCCCCCTTTCTTGCCTTTCCGCACATTCATTTTCGGGGCCATTGTTATCGATCTTACTTAACTTTTTAAGCAAAAAAAAAATCCCTAAGTATTCAAAAAGAGAGCTGTTTCCACAAGCGACGCACATCAAACGCCGAAGAGCTAGCAGCCAGTTGCTCTCATAACGCTCATCAACGGGCGTCGCCGATTGGCTGAGGCCTGCCTCAAGTTAGGAGTCGGCAGACCCGAGCGTCGCTCCGATTGGCCGAAATTGGCGGGTTCCGTTTGATATCGCAAGCACGTCGCTAACCGAACATGTCGCGCTAACTGAAACAACGGGACCCTATGGGAGGTGGATCGTTCATCTCAAATATCGTTCATCGATGGCATCGCAAACCGAGGGACCGCTGTACTGTATTTGCTATGCTCCCACGTCCATACTCGCCGCTTTCACAATGATGAAGTATGGTCAAAAGACCATAGCGACTGGCTCGGGCACGGGGAGGGCCCCGTTCAGCAGCGGATGGCATAAAAGGGTCCGTAACATCAGCATCATCGTTTCTAGCGTCAACACCACCATCATCGTCGTCGTCATTAACAGCGCTGTCAATCGTGAGCCGTGGACTCACGAATGGTGAGATGAGCGGTGAATTAACTTCTCACCTGCGCGAAAGGCGTCACGATGACGTCATCGTGCCTGTGGGGAGAGATGACGTCACTTGTCACGAGGTGGCGAAGCAGGTTTTTTTTTACTTTTAGCACTGGTTTTTTGTTTGTTGATCTCCCATGTTTTAAGAAAGCCGTTGACGGATTGGGCGGCTTTTTGTAAGTCAGGGAATGGCAACACAACTTTATATTAAATCTGCATTCGTAACGGATCACCTCTGTGAACGGCAGGGCAGGTGAACAGAGCTAACGCGACCTTAGTTGGAAAACTTAAGAATAAAAATAGTAAAATAGGAGGGGGGAAATATATACTTGAGAGTCCAAAATACTAAAATGTTAGATTTCCGAATTTATTTATTCGCATATACTTGAACAATTTTCTGAATCTAGCCGTTCCAGAACATCATGAGAATATTGTTTTTTATTAGTCTCGAATATGAATCTGTCTTCAAAACTCAACGCATTCATCAATAGCATCGTGTGTGGCCTTAAATGGAAATATATATGAATATATAATAGGTGACGTTTCGGGCTATGGTCCTTCCTCACAGCACATGCACGTGTGTGTGTCTCAGTCAGCCAACCCATGGCACCACCTGGGTCTGTCCCATGACCTCCTGCCAGCGGGCGTTCGACACTTCACGTGTCCCTAAAGTGCACTTATCCTAGCACAAGCGTCATGGTGACATCACCGCCACTTCGTGTTGTCTTTGTACGTCTGGCGTAGTTGCAGGACTGTAGCTAGCAGCACTGCGCTGCAATCCTGGCCACCCGGGTTTGCTTCCCAGCCACAGCTTGCATAAGTGCCAAGCAATATCCATTCGGTCCTAGGCTTCCGCGTATGTTGACTCAGCCTTTAATTGGGCACTGGGGAGACAAAATTGGCAGGCGTAGTGATGTCCACACCACCCTCTCGCCGTGTGCTCTGACTGCCTTCGTAGGTGCTCACTAACACCACTTGCTCCTCCAGCCAGTGCAGGACACACGGGGGGTACATGTTGTTTACGTCGTTTATTGTGAAATTTCAGTCACAGTTCCTATGATCACTGTTACATTGCTTTTATGGCTTTATTTTGGTGATTTCGAAAAGTTTTTTGGTTTGGCCATGTTACACCGATGGCTTTAATCTAAGTTGTCTTGTGGTTGTTGTTGTTTGACTTGCATCTCACTGGGATTTTTGCACACAACGTTGGTGTGCGGTGCTTTTTCTGGAAGCTTTTGCTGTTTTTTCGTAGTTTTTTCCTGGATTTTTCTGTTTGTGCATATTCACTTTAAGATGTTTTCATGTTCATGTTTTAGTTTTTTGTTTGTTGCGGTTGCACCCGATTCAAGAGCCGAATGGCTCACAGGGCTATACCAAATAAATGAAACTGAAAACTGAAACATGCCGTTTGTGTGTGTAGCTATGCACCTGGGGGAGCGGTGGTGCAGTGGTTAGCGCGCTACGCTACGAACCCTGGCAAGCCGAGTTCGATTCCCGCTCACGCCCAACATCGGTGACGATTATCTGAATCGGTTCTGGGCTTCCGCTAGGTCGACTCAGCCTCAAATGAGTACCTGGCGCGGTGTGTAAACATCGCCACTATAAAGATAAAGGCGGAGGGGCGTGGTGCTGGCCACCCATCCCCATGCGTGCCGTGCCGGCCTTCATAGGTGCTCGCTAACAGCACTTGCCCCAACAGTCTGTTGAGGCTACACGGGAGATCTTCGTTCCTCGTATATGTACACTCATTCAAGCATTCATGCGTGTATGGTAATTACAATTCACCACAACACATAGTCGTCTCCGACATGGCCATTATGAGCATTCATGCAGGTTAATTCAACACACGCATCACACACCACACACACCACACACGGCGTCTCTTGACAAAGCCATAACCTGACACTGCCTTTACGAACTACCTGAGACAGACACCCAGAACCAGGGCTAAATTCCAGGACCTCAGTGTTTCCGACACGAACATTAAGCACAGGACGTGGCTACTATGAATCTAAATGGCCATTATGTAGCTGACGGCCATTTTGGAAGCTGACACTTCAGTTTCAATTCTGACGGCCAAGGCCTCTAGAGACGTTTGAGCAGCCTCAAGCAGGCCAATGGCATCCACAACCACTGGGAATAAGCGGCTACACCTGGGTGTACAGTTCCAGCCACCAGCCGCAAACACTGGCCGGTGACCAGCGAGACAAAACCCCACGCAGAGGTCAAATGTCGCTCCGATTAACGAGGTAATGCGCAGTCCGCTCGGGCAGGCTACGGTTTGGACATTTCGACGTGTCGGCAGTAGAGGATTTTGCGTCTCCTGAGCAGAGGAGGATGTCAAGCAGCACCGGATTAAGCTCGTGTGGGGCCTGTAGCATATGTTATAAAAGGGCCCTAAATAAATATAAAACGTTAATATTAAAACACATACATTTTTTACTTGCATAGTAAAGTAATTTGTATTTTTTCATTTGCTATACAGCCAGATAATACGACAAATCGCTAACCTTAAACGCCCAGTCGTTGATAAAAGTTGAAGGTAGTATAGTACTATGGTAATAGAGCTAGTGTAGAATTACTGAACCAGAATTGATATCTTGAAAGCATTTAGCGCGGGGCCCTTGAAAGTGCGCGGCCCGTAGCATACGCAGCTACTTTTGCTCCTAGGATAATCCGGCACTGATGTCAAAGAGCGGTTTTCCAATAGACCGTTGGTCGATATGCTACCCATAGAACGATGTTCTCTTCCTACGAGGGGATTTCAACGTCCATGAAAGGAAGTGGCAGAGGAATTTGCACTTCTGCAGTAATGTCTATAATTCAGTGGGTCTGCGAGGGGTGGGTCAAGGGGTGTATTGCTTTAGAAGGACCGGTTTTTGATCGACTGTGGAGAACATTATTGAAAGGGAAGGGAGATGAGTCTGAGCGTAAAGGAAAAGGTCATTTGAGGCAGGAGGGCCCTCTGTGTTCCTGTACGGCTCAGACTGCTGGACGCTAAACAACTCGGAAAAGAAGTTGTTGGCATTTGAGCAGAAATATCTGAAATGGATGCTGGGAATTTAATGGCAAGACAGGAGAAGCAACGCAGAAGTCTAGAGGAGAGCATGGCCGGTAGGGCGCTGCCGTATGCAGGAGGTCATGGGTTCGATCCAGACCCTGATGCCTGTATATTTGGAGTTTGCATGGTCTCCCCGTGGTGGCATGGATTTTTCTCCGGGTCCTCCGGTTTTTCGCTCCACATTTAGAATCAACGTGCGTTTCGGGAAATTGGCTGCTTTTCATTTACACACGATAAGCCAACTCCGTTGAGCTATCATTTGTGGCTAGGTCGCTTCTGAAAAACAGCCACACAGTTCAGTGGTTCTCACCTGGTAAACTCGACATTAGTGACATTAGTTTTAGTCTCAGGCGTTGCAGATATGGTCCGGCAAGAAAAAATGGGTTCCGCTGGGTGGGACGCGCGCGCAGGATGGGAGATGGCCGATCTGCCGAGACCGGCATTGGGGTGGTCTCCACGAGACCGGTAACCGAGGGGAAAGACCTCAGATCAGATGGTGGGGAGACCTTTAGGGCAGTTCTCAGAGGTGGCATATCGACTGACAGGGCTGCAGTGGGATCCAGTGGTAGAAAGCGTCTGTGAGGTGCAGAGGTGTACGCTGTGGCCATCAATGGCGTTGGCCATGAGGACGTCTTGATCTTGATCGTGGCCATTTGGGACCGGATATGGCCGCTATGATTCTAAAGAGAGATACGCCCAGACCCAAGGATCTAACTGAGCATCTTGGAGGTGTCTGGCTTGTCTAAAACTGGCACCAGCGAGCAGTGTTAGTAGACGGTAGCTGTAATTAAGGTTGCATCGATGCGATACTAATATATATCGTAATGATACAAGGTTCACGGTATTTGTATCGTCCGTTACATAAAACGCCGCCATATCGTGAATATCATTGCTCGTTCTATTTAACAATTAATTTCCTGACAAAATGTTTACGGAATCACAAGCGCAATAATCAAAGTAGTGAATAGCTAATACCCGATATATTAGTGCTTTGCAAAATGTTTTTCAGAGCGATTAACGGCATGGCGATTATTGGATGCCACGATGTCCCATGTTAAGTTATCGCACGGCCAACAGCATTATGCACTCCGAGCATTACACATTGTAACGCTCCAATAATTAAGCAGGCATACGGCAGGCTGATGATTGCAGCTGACGTAAATGTAAAAATATACATTTATAAATATATACGGGACACTGATATCTTAACAAATTGCAATGTCGTGAAATTTCATATCGCATCGTGAACACAAATATATCGTGGCAACCTGAACAGTTTGTTAGTTCAATCGACATGCGCAGGACGTCACTGCGATGTGGACAGCCACATTGATAGCAGTGAAGTCATCAATGTAATATTGTCAACCAAAAGTCTTTGGTTTTTTTAATATGCCCACGTTACTGGGCACTTACAACCTCTTGTTGCCTAGGCCTAGCACAGGCTCAGACTTGTAGGAAGGAAGGCGGCCATGAAGAACTCTATAAGAGACATTGAACACAGAATGAATTGGACAGAGAGCGGTGAGTGTGCGTGAGTGAATGGGTGCGTGAGTGAGTGTGGGTGAGTGAATGGCTGAGTGAATGAGCGTGGGAGAGTGAATCAGTATGCATGAGTGAGTTAGTGGGTGTGTGTGAGTGAATGGGTGAGTGAATGAATGTGCGTGAGTGAATGGCTGAGTGAATGAGCGTGGGTTAGTGAATCAGTATGCGTGAGTTAGTGGGTGTGTGTGCGAGTGAATGGGTGAGTGAATGAGTGTGGGTGAGTGAATCAGTATGCGTGAGTGAGTGGGTGAGTGAATGGCTGAGTGAATGAGCGTGGGTGAGTGAATCAGTATGCGTGAGTTAGTGGGTATGTGTGCGAGTGAATGGGTGAGTGAATGAGTGTGGGTGAGTGAATCAGTATGCGTGAGTGAGTGGGTGAGTGAGTGAATGGCTGAGTGAATGAGCGTGGGTGAGTGAATCAGTATGCGTGAATGAATGGGTGTGTGGGTGAGTGAATGGGTGAGTGAATGAGCATGCGTGAGTGAATCAGTATGCGTGAATGAGTGGATGTGTGTGTGAGTGAATGGGTGAGTGAATGAGCGTGGGTGAGTGAATCAGTATGCGTGAGTGAGTGTGTGTGCGAGTGAATTGGTGAGTAAATGAGTGTGTGTGAGTGAATCAGTATGCGTGAATGAGTGGGTGTGTGAATGTGTGAGTGAATGAGCGGGTGGGTGAATGGGTGAGCTATAGAGTGAACGAGAAGCATGTGAGTTTATCTACCCCTCGTTGATGATGGACGATTTGCGCGAGTCGCTCCGAGTCGATCCCTGGCTCTCCCCGCGGTAGAGGAACGACTCACGACGCTGAGGGGCGACGTGGGGACCCGAGAAGACAGCGCCCTCCTCACTGCATCATCATCAGCAGGAGCGGCATCATCATCATCAGCAGCAGCAACATCAACCATCATCATCAGCAGGAGCGGCATCATCATCATCATCAGCAGCAGCAACATCAACCATCATCATCAGCAGGAGTGGCATCATCATCATCAGCAGGAGCAACATCAACCATCATCATCAGCAGGAGCGGCATCATCATCATCATCAGCAGGAGCAACATCAACCATCATCATGAATAGTGTTATCCACAATAGAGGTTTTTTTTGGGTTAGATCGCATAAAATAGAAATGTGTCGTTAAACCCGCCACCACCCGACACAGCCAATTAGTAAAGGTTTCTCACGTGAACAGAACATGCCAGTTCGTTACTAGTACAGCACTACCGGCGTGTTGGAGAGTAAACCCAACATTTACAATTCGAGTAGGACGTTTCGCCAGTAATTACGAGCGTAATCAGTATACTTGATGTCACGTCTCACACGGGTATAGAACAAATTCTCAAGAGGTTGCTGGATGGCTTAAAGATCAGACACCTTGGGATGGCACCACTCAGAACACGGGTTCCAAACCAGGTTTAAGCCCCCGGTGATGAAGCGTGGTTCTCAAGTCTACCGAGTTTCTATAACCTGAGCGTGATCCCCAAACATTCGCAGAGATATCACCCATAGACTAATAGACCCATTGACCAGAGAGACCCAACGACTAATGTGGAGATCCGTAGACTGACGTGGAAACCCAGAATCACATAGAGACTCATACACCCCATAGAGACCCATAAACTCGCGGAGACCCATCGACTAAGGAGTTCCATGGGCTCGTGTAGAAATCCACTCACATGGACTCGTACGCCCACATAGAAGACCCACAGACTTACACAGACCGTCGTCATGAACAGAATCTCAAGTGTCGGGAGTTGATGGTTTTGGCCCAGTCACCAACGACTACGCTAACAAGGCCATCTCACTACAGCCAATTTAGTTTGGTTCTAGAACTAATTTAGCTGAATTTCAGGTTAGACCATTACGCGACAATCTGCTGCCCTACGTAGTGTCTCGTAAAGGTCAATTGGAGGGGCCTCGGATGTGGCTCTGTGATGTCCACTTCCGTTGGGCCATCCTCTAGCACGAAGCGTCGCATCGTTCTGCGGGAGTTCCCGCTGCGATTCTTCATCTCGCGACGCTAATGCCACCGCTGCACAGGACAGTGCACACACTGCAAATTGAACTAGGCATCACGAAAAATGTTCTTGGACTAACAGCATTTTTATATTTATATAACGGAGTGTAAAATAAACTAACCCACAGAACATTGCACGTGCAGTGACATCATTTGTGCTTCACAACAGACGAGGTATGAGATGTATTCAGGAGAGACGTAGAGAAGATATGACGTATTAATCATCAGAAACATCAATAACAAGTGATATGAAGTCCTCAACACGACACCATCAGGATCAGAAACAGCAACATCAACCTCCGTTACCATTAAGATAATCAATTTTACAATCATCACCATTGTCAACATGATCATTAACATCAACGTCATTGTCAAAATCATGAATAACACTGCAGTTGTTAGCATCAACATCATCACCTTCAACATTGTCATGAGCATCACAGCATCATCAGCAGCATCATCTCACCTGGAACCGTGAATACAGCTGCAGGACAAAGAAGCACGTTTGTATTTGAAAGACATTGGGGTGAGTTGGTGAGTGAATGAGTTTGTTGAGTGGGTGAGTGTAAGAGTGAGCGGGTGAGTTCGTGAGTAGGTGAGTGAGTGATAAAGTCAGTTTGTGAGTGGGTGAGTTATTAAGTGTGAGAGTCGGTGAGTGAATAAGTGGGTGAATGAGTTTGTGGAGTGCGTGAGTGAGGGAGTTTGTGAGTGAGTGGGTTAGAGAGTGAGTGAATGAGTTGGCGAGTGAATGGGTTAGAGAGTGGAGAAATGTGTGTGTGGGTCAGTGAGTATGTGTGAGTGAATGAGTGGGTTAGCGAGCGAGTGAATGAGTGGGTGAGTGAGTGGGTGGTCGGTAGGTGTGTGTGTGAATGGGTGTGTTAGAGAGTGAATGAATGTGTGTGTTAGAGAATGAATGAGTTGGTGAATGAGTGGGTTAGCGAGCGAGTGAATGAGCGGGTGGGTGAGTGGGTGGTATTTCGGTGTGTGTGAATGGGTGTGTTAGAGAATCAATGAGTTGGCGAGTGGGTGAACGAACGAGTGGTAGATGAGTGAGTGAGTCAGTGAGCTTCTGCCGGATTTTCGGACATAATCCGCGAACCTTTCCACATTTCTGATCTGGAGTCGAGTGGAGGATAGAAGTCTGGACAAGAGAAGAAACATACGACATGTAGACACAAACATGTACACACACACATGTACTCATGCGTATATACACACTTACACACACACATGAACATATACATCAACACATCACTGATACAGACACAGATACAAACACGCAAAGACAGACAGACACAAATACAAAGAGAAACGTACACAAGAATACTTGGACACACACACACACGTGTACACACAGTCAGACGTGTATACATGCGTACAGACACACACACACACACGTGTACACACACGCGTACAGACACACACACACGTGTATACAAAGACAAACACATACCGACACACACACGTGTACACACACACGTGCACACACACACATACAGCCAGAAAGTTATAAATATACGAGACAAAAATAAACCGCAGCTGGGCAGCACACAAACCCTGCTCTGAGCGTAAAGCAGAAACAGCCATCGACTGTGGCCTCTGCGTTGATGGTGGTGATGGTGGTGGTTGATGATGATGGTCGTTGTGATGATGATGATGATGGTTGTGGTGGTCGTGGTGATGATGGTGGATATGGTAGTGGTGGTGGTGGTGATGGTTGTGATGGTCGTGGTGATGATGGTTATGGTGGTGGTGATGATGATGGTTATGGTGGTGGTGATGATGATGGTGGTGGTTATGGTGGTGATGATGGTTGTGGTGGTCGTGGTGACGGTGTTTATGGTGGTGTTGGTGACAGAGATAATGATGTTGATGTTGTTGGTGGTAGTGATGTTGATTATGATAACAGTAGTGATGATGGTTGTGGTGCCAGTTGTGGTGATGGTGTTAACGATCTTAACTATGTTAATTGTTGTGTTGCAGTTTGTGACGATGATGATTATATTGATGGTGATTATGTTGTTAGATGCTAATGGTTATGTTCATGATGGTAGTGGTGATTGTCAATAATGATGGGTGATACGGATGGTAATGATGTTGACGATGGTGCAGATATTAATGATGACGATGGTGGTAATGATGATGTATAACGATGACATCTGGGATGGTGACGATTATGATGGTGTCTTCATCCTCGTGTGCTGGGAAAGTTTGAGTGAGAGTTGGGCTGAGAGGGAAAGATAGGGGGACGTGGTGGGGGAGTGACTTCACGAGTGTGTGTCTGTGTGTGTGTCTGTATGTCTGTGTGTGTCTGTGTGTGTGTGTGACTGTGTGTCTGTGTATGTATGTCTGTGTGTATGTCTGTGTGTGTGTCTGTTTGTCTGTGTGTGTGTCTGTACGACTGTGTGTGTAGGACTGTGTGTGTGTGACTGTGTGTCTGTGTGTGTATGTCTGTGTGTGTGTATGTCTGTGTGTGTGTGTGTGACTGTGTGTGTATGTCTGTCGGGTGCGAGGGGCTGCTAACCCCTCCACCTTCAATTAACCACCACTAAACTACGTTGTAAAAAAATGTATTAAGCTTCTGCCGGAGGCCCCGGGGTGACAAGCGTCTATGACGTCTCCTGGCCAAATCCCAGGAGACTAAATCCTTACCCTCGGGGCTCCTCCAGAAGCAACAAAAAGCCACTTCGGATGGCCACGTGGAATGTTCGAATGCTCACTGCGGAGGAGAGGCTGCAACTCCTCTGTCGGGAGCTGGACCGGTACACCTGGATCTCTGTGGTATTCAGGAGGTCCGGTAGACCGGCTCTGGCTCCTGCCACCATGAGGGGTGGACAGTCCTCTACTCGGGGCAGGAGACTGCCAAACAACAGGGAGTGGCTCTTCTTCTGAACAAAAGAATGAAGGGGGCGTGAGAGCGTGGCGGTGAGGTGTGGGAAGCTGTACGCCCCAGGCTACTTTGGGCTCGCCTTCCCATCTACCAGAGGCGAGGAGTGGTGGTCGTGGTTACTTATGCCCCCACCGAAGACGAACATCCGCGGAGGGATGCAGGCAAGGCCGATGAGTGAGATGCCTTCTATGACCTCCTGTTGCAGGTGCTGGCTAAAGTGGCCCCTCGGGATAGAGTCATCTTGTTGGGTGACTTCAATGCCCGAGTTGGTCATGATGCTAGCACCTGGTCTGGAGTGATTGGAAGACATGGGCCAGATCAGCTCAATAATAACGGTAGGAGGCTGCAAGATTTTTGTGCAGCCCATGGGCTTGTAATTACCAACACGCTGTTTCGGCATCGGTGCATCCACATAACATCATGGATGCATGCCGGGTCCAAGCAAGAACATCTGCTGGACTACATAGTGACAGAACAGCGGATGCGGGCCCATGTCCTTGACACCAGGACCTATTATGGAGCTGATCTGCCCACTGACCATCGAGTTGTCATCTGTAAGATGCGCCTGCAATTCTTCAACTCCGATGGTGGGTGTACACCCAGGACCCCATTCAAACCCATAGTGGCATTGTCTCAGCTAGCTGATGAAAGTTGCAAGTGAGAATTTCATCATCGCTTGTGGCTGGGGTTGGCATCGTCCCCCACTCCTGCTGATGTTGAGGGGAAATGGGCGAGGTTTAGGACTGTGGCTCATGCAGTTACAATGGTTGCTTTGGGTACACGGTCCAGACCTCATCAGAGACCCTGGCTGACAGAGGAGGTGTTCAAGCTGGCTGAGAAAAAGCGACAGGCCCACTCTCATCGTCTACAGCATCCCACGTCAGAGAATGAGGAGGTTTACCACAGCCTTCGCTCGGAGGTTCGGAGAGCCATGAGGCGCTGCAAGGATGGTTGGTGGTCACGGGTTGCTGAGGAGATGGAGTCTGCCTCAATACCCCGCGATCACAAATTGCTCTTTAATTCCATCAAAAAAGTAACCTGCAGCGCCACACCTATTACCATCATTAGGGGAAAGAATGGTGATCCAAACTCTGACCCCCAGGAACAGGTTTGCAGATTTGCTGAGCATTTCTGTGAGGTCCTGGGGGAGGGGAAATCCCTCAGCCTGGAAAACATCGTGGGACAAAGTGGGGATGACCCTGCTGAGACTGCGGTGCCTCAAATATTGTAAGAAGTCACCCCCTGTGAGTGGCTGGCTGAGGTGCCATCTGTTGAGGAAGTACTGAAGGCGATCCAGAACCTGAGACCAGGAAAGGCACCGGGCAGAGATTATCTCCCAAGCGAAATGCTGAGGGAGGGTAGCGTTTGTGCACAGACTGCCCTACATGACATCATAACAACAGTCTGGACCACTGGACGGGTTCCACAGGATTGGAAGGATGCCCTGGTGGTCCCCCTCTTTAAGAAGGGGGACCGCACAGACTGTAACAACTACAGGGGCATCTCACTCCTCAGTGTGCTGGGAAAGGTCTTGGCAAGGATTATTCAACATCGCCTTGCCAGGCACGCTGAAGAGAGGCTTGTGGAGCCCCAATGTGGTTTCAGGAAAGGGCGGTCTTGCACAGATGCCATATTTTCTGTCCGTCTGCTACAGCAGAGGTGTAGGGAATTCCAACAAGACCTCCATCTCTGATGTATTGACCTGGTCAAGGCCTATGATACCATCAGTAGGCCTGGGCTCTGGGTTGTTCTTCGTGCTTTTGGAGTCCCTGACCCGCTGCTCACAATCATTAAGGACCTTCATAATGGTGAGCGGGCCCGGGTAAAACTACATGGCCGCGAGTCGGAGCCATTCCCTTTTAACTTTGGGGTGCGAAAGGGATGTCCTCTGGCTCCTACATTATTAAACATCTATTTCGATCACGTTGTTCGTGAAGCCTTCAATAGCTGTACCGGAGGACTTTCCATCTGGTACAGATGTAATAAAAGGACTCAGACACTTCTTGCTGACTCCGTGTCCTTTATTTGGGGTTCGCGTTCTCCTTCCCACACGGCACTCCTCCTGAGACTCTCTCCCTGGCAGCCCCACATCTGCCTTCGCTCCCGTAGCCTTCCACGCTCCTGCAGCTCCGCTGCAGGCTCTTGGTGCAGCCCTCCGGCTGCCCCCACAGCAGCTCCATCGCTGCTCCCTGTTCCTCCGTGCGTGGCGATCTCGCCACCTCCCAATGTCAGCCCTTCGTGGCCTCTATGGCTATCTCGCCATTTCCTACCTCAGCCCTTCGTGGCCTCTGTGGCTATCTCGCCATTTCCTACCTCAGCCCTTCGTGGCCTCTGTGGCTATCTCGCCACTTCCTACCTCAATCCTCCACTCTCTCTTCCACCCCGCTGGCTGGCGCCGTCATGAGCCCCTCAGCCACCAGGCTGAGGCACGGCGACCACCCAACGTGTTCACCACCCTTCACTCCCCCGACTGCCCAGATAGCTTCCTGTCTCCCCGCTATAACTTCTCCCCCACGTCACCCTGACTCCTCCCTCTCGGATCGTCATATCCGCCCCGCCCATTTACACAGATACAATGGGAGGCTGATCGATACCCGGGTGCAGTCAAGGGATGGCTCCCTATTGCTCAACCATGTTATGTATGCCGATGATCTGGCAATTGCTGCTCACTCAGAGTAGGAGTTGGAGGCGCTGCTGCTGAACCTGGAGCTTGCCACTAAGAGATGGGGCTTTACCATCAGCCCCATCAAAACTAAGCACCTGCCTGGGTATTTTTTACCATCGGACACTCCACCCCCACAACTCCCAATTGGTGATAGGACAGTTGTGGAGAGAGTGGAGAGTTTCCCATACCTGAGCAGTGTGCTCATGATCTTTGTCTCCCTAGTGGTGATGTTTTACACACCGCAACCAGGTACTCATTTGAGGCTGAGCCGACCTAAGGGATGCCGAGGACCGGTTCAAATAATTGTGTCTGCCGGTGTTGGTGGCCTTGAGCTTTTCAGGTCAATACTGCGTACAGCAGTATTGACCTGAGATTTATAAAGGGCACCACGGGGTGATCAATAAGGTCTGAATTGGTCTGTGTAACAAGGTCGGCACTGATACGGGGTTGACAGGTGTGGGATGTGTAGGTGAACGTATGTGCACATCAGAAACGGGGAGACAAAGGCGGCCGCGCCGGCCTTAATAGGTGCTCGCTAACAACACTCGCCCCAACAGTTTGTTAAAGCTACGAAGTTGGGGGGGGGCGGGGGTGTCTTTGTGTCTGTACCACACGTGCGAGCGAGATAATGTGAGTGTGAGTGATTGAGTGTTTGCGGGTCCCTCTAAATATAAATGCGCGTATGTTGGACCCACGTGCCCGTTACACGTACGGTACAGGGCTTAAACGTGTGTGTGTGTAACTTGCACAGTGCAAGCGACACTGCTGCCATGGGCATCCCCTCTAGGTAGACTCAGCCTTAAATGTTGGGGCCGACTGCGGTGGTGGAAAGATCAGCACTTTGGGGGTGGGGATGGAGGAAGGCAAAGGCGGCCGGGCGTGTTTTTAAAATCACAGGTGCTGCTCGCTAACATCACTTGCAGCCAGGGACGTGCGCTCAGGGGAGGCAGGGGAGACAGAGCCTCACCTGCAATACGCCAATGAAAACAGCTGTTACGAAAAGTAAAAAAAAAATCAAATAAATTACAAGATTTTTTTCCACTGATCTGTGTTATAAATGTAATTTCTGTACGATTCCAATAATTTTTATCGTCAAAATCGCCAAAATTTGCGGAGCTCCGCTGCAAATGCAGGAAGCGACGCGAGGTGAGGCAGCGACGAGCTCTGCCTCCCCTCTGATTGCGCAACCCCTCAGTAACTGGATGGAGCGCGGGCAATAAGCGCGTGCCTGTTACTATCTCAGTATGTCACCAATGTAATGTTTGTAGACCCCTTCATTTCATGTCCTCGCCTTCCATACTCCAGGTAACTTATTTCACGTATGTGTATACAGATATTTAGGCTCGCTGGAGTACTGTACGTACAGTACCGGAATACTGTATAACAGTACTGGAGGACAGTACCGGAATTATGTGCATACAGTACAGGGGGACACCACATGAGTACTGTACATACAGTACCGGAATACTGTACATACAGTACAGGAATACTGTACATACAGTACCGGAATACTGTATTACAGTCCTGGAAAACAAGTGCCGGATCACAGCACTGGAATACTGTACACACAATACTGTAATGCAGCACACGAGTACTGTACGTACAGTACTCGAGTACACGAGTACTGTACGTACAGTGCTCCAAACACGCTCCACGTGCCGGCTCCCCCACGCACCCAGTCACCCCTCCCCCTCGCCACGTGCTCCACACTCTACGCTTAGTAAGTTTTGTGTAAAGTATTTGTTGTTGTTCTTGTTGTTTTAATGAGCCCCGTCCGGTTATTATTCATGCGTATTTAATATCTTAGTTGTGTTGCGAAGTGTTGTGGTTTTTTTGGTAATCGTGTTTTGTGTAAACTAAATGTTTTTTCGTTGAACTCAATAATAATTATGAGAACGCACGGGCAAACGCGTTTCGGTTTACGCGATTTCACTTTAAGCGGGGGTCTTCGTCACAACCCAAACGGATATCGAGGTACGTCCGTCCACAAACACACAGCGTGTACACAACACAAAGATCCCCCGTGTAGCCTTAGCAGACTGTAGGGGCAAGTGCTGTTAGCGAGCACCTATGAAGGCCGGCACGGCACACGAGGGCGTGGGTGGCCAGCACTATATATATCCACACACACACGAACAATATTAATTTTATTATATAATATTATTATATTATATAACGATATTATTTTATTATTTTATTATATTATGTTTTATTTTTATTATTTTATTATTTCCATTCTACGTGACTTTACCGAAAGAACCAAGAAGATGAATCCCTGCAGTCACGAAAGCTTTAAATCAAAATTGGATAGAGTTCATCACTGAGCACGTGGCCGTGTGTTACCCACCCACCCCCTGTCCACTAACAGCACTTGTCCCAACAGTCCACCAATACTACAAGGGGGATCTTTGTCTTTGGTCAGCTGTGTTGTGGGGGGGAGCGGTGGCGCAGTGATTAGCGCACCGCAGCGTGAATTTTCAGAAATTGTCCCGTTTTGGCCTCCCCCCCCCCCCTCTAGGTCAACTCGGCCATAACTGAGTGTCTGCTACCCCGGTGTGTCAGTAGACATCAACGTCGGGGAGACAAAGGCGGCCCGGGGCGTGACGCTGACCAACAAAACCCCCACAGTGTGACGTGCCGGCCTTAATAGGTGCTCGCTAACAGCACTTGCCCCGACAGTCTTCATGTCGGCTGTAGGGGGTGAGGGGCCTCTGACACACGCAGCACTACACCCCCGTCAATCGAGTTGGAGAAAAGTGGTCACACTCACACAGCTACCGGATTATAAGACGCACCCACCGTCCCTCATCCCTCCCACCCTCATCCCTCCCTCCCTCATCCCTCTCATCCCTCCCACCCACCCACCCTCATCCCACCCACCCTCATCCCTCCCTCCCACCCTCATCCCTCCCACCCACCCACCCACCCTCATCCCTCCCACCCTCATCCCACCCACCCACCCTCATCCCTCCCACCCACCCACCCTCATCCCACCCACCCACCCACCCTCATCCCTCCCACCCACCCACCCACCCTCATCCCACCCACCCACCCACCCTCATCCCACCCACCCTCATCCCTCCCACCCACCCACCCTCATCTCTCCCACCCACCCACCCACCCTCATCCCACCCACCCACCCACCCTCATCCCACCCACCCACCCTCATCCCTCCCACCCACCCACCCTCATCCACCCACCCACCCTCATCCCTCCCACCCACCCACCCACCCTCATCCCACCCACCCACCCTCATCCCACCCACCCACCCTCATCCCTCCCACCCACCCACCACCTCATCCCACCCACCCACCCACCCACCCTCATCCCACCCACCCACCCTCATCCCTCCCACCCACCCTCATCCCACCCACCCACCCTCATCCCTCCCACCCACCCACCCTCATCCCACCCACCCACCCTCATCCCTCCCACCCACCCACCCACCCACCCTCATCCCTCCCACCCTCATCCCTCCCACCCACCCTCATCCCTCCCTCCCACCCTAATCCCTCCCACCCCCCCACCCACCCTCATCCCTCCCACCCTCATCCCTCCCACCCACCCTCATCCCTCCCACCCACCCACCCACCCTCATCCCACCCACCCACCCACCCTCATCCCTCCCACCCACCCACCCTCATCCCACCCACCCTCATCCCTCCCACCCACCCACCCTCATCCCACCCACCCACCCTCATCCCTCCCACCCACCCACCCACCTCATCCCTCCACCTCATCCCTCCCACCCTCATCCCTCCCACCCACCCTCATCCCTCCCACCCACCCACCACCCTCATCCCTCCCACCCACCCTCATCCCTCCACCCACCCACCCTCATCCCTCCCACCCTCATCCCTCCCACCCACCCACCCTCATCCACCCACCCACCCTCATCCCTCCCACCCACCCACCCTCATCCCTCCCACCCACCCACCCTCATCCCACCCACCCACCCTCATCCCTCCCACCCACCCACCCACCCTCATCCCACCCACCCACCCTCATCCCTCCCACCCACCCACCCACCCACCCTCATCCCACCCACCCACCCACCCTCATCCCACCCACCCACCCTCATCCCCTTCCACCCACCCACCCTCATCCCACCCACCCACCCTCATCCCTCCCACCCACCCACCCACCCTCATCCCACCCACCCACCCTCATCCCACCCACCCACCCTCATCCCACCCACCCACCACCCTCATCCCACCCACCCACCCTCATCCCACCCACCCACCCACCCTCATCCCTCCCACCCACCCACCCTCATCCCACCCACCCACCCTCATCCCTCCCACCCACCCACCCTCATCCCACCCACCCACCCTCATCCCTCCCACCCACTCACCCACCCTCATCCCTCCCACCCTCATCCCTCCCACCCACCCTCATCCCTCCCTCCCACCCTCATCCCTCCCACCCACCCACCCACCCTCATCCCTCCCACCCACCCTCATCCCTCCCACCCACCCTCATCCCTCCCACCCACCCACCCACCCTCATCCCTCCCACCCTCATCCCTCCCACCCACCCTCATCCCTCCCACCCACCCACCCTCATCCCACCCACCCACCCTCATCCCTCCCACCCACCCACCCTCATCCCTCCCACCCACCCACCCACCCTCATCCCACCCACCCACCCTCATCCCACCCACCCACCCACCCTCATCCCCCCACCCACCCACCCTCATCCCACCCACCCACCCTCATCCCTCCCACCCACCCTCATCCCTCCCACCCACCCACCCTCATCCCACCCACCCACCCTCATCCCACCCACCCACCCTCATCCCTCCCACCCACCCACCCACCCTCATCCCACCCACCCACCCTCATCCCACCCACCCACCCACCCTCATCCCTCCCACCCACCCTCATCCCACCCACCCACCCTCATCCCTCCCACCCACCCACCCTCATCCCACCCACCCACCCACCCTCATCCCTCCCACCCACCCTCATCCCACCCACCCTCATCCCACCCACCCTCATCCCACCCACCCACCCTCATCCCTCCCACCCACCCACCCACCCTCATCCCACCCACCCTCATCCCACCCACCCACCCACCCTCATCCCTCCCACCCTCCCTCATCCCTCCCTCCCACCCTCATCCCACCCACCCACCCACCGACCCACCCTCATCCCTCCCACCCTCATCCCTCCCACCCACCCTCATCCCTCCCTCCCACCCACCCTCATCCCACCCACCCACCCTCATCCCACCCACCCACCCTCATCCCACCCACCCACCCACCCACCCTCATCCCTCCCACCCACCCTCATCCCACCCACCCACCCTCATCCCACCCACCCACCCTCATCCCTCCCACCCACCCACCCACCCTCATCCCACCCACCCACCCACCCTCATCCCACCCACCCACCCTCATCCCACCCACCCACCCTCATCCCTCCCACCCACCCACCCACCCTCATCCCACCCACCCACCCTCATCCCACCCACTCACCCACCCTCATCCCACCCACCCACCCTCATCCCACCCACCCACCCTCATCCCACCCACCCACCCACCCACCCTCATCCCACCCACCCACCCTCATCCCACCCACCCACCCTCATCCCTCCCACCCACCCACCCTCATCCCACCCACCCTCATCCCTCCCACCCACCCACCCACCCTCATCCCACCCACCCACCCTCATCCCACCCACCCACCCTCATCCCACCCACCCACCCACCCACCCTCATCCCACCCACCCACCCTCATCCCTCCCACCCACCCACCCACCCTCATCCCACCCACCCACCCTCATCCCTCCCACCCACCCACCCACCCTCATCCCACCCACCCACCCTCATCCCTCCCACCCACCCACCCACCCTCATCCCACCCACCCACCCTCATCCCACCCACCCACCCACCCTCATCCCACCCACCCCAACTTTCACTTAAAATTACGGTGAATCAAAGACCACGCGTCTTAGAATCTGGCGAAAAAAATCCCATTTTGGTGGTTGGGGGGGTAGAGCTGTAGCAAGTGATCGTGACGAGGCAAAGCAAATTGTGTGGACTCATTCTGTTGAACGTCTAAAACTGGTTCACGTTCAATCTTGACTCAAAGCTTTCGTCACTGCAGGAATTCATATATTTTCCTGAAGACGACCGCTTGTGTTGCGCTAGTAACGTCGTAGTTTTGAGCTATTTTCTTTGAACCTATCTACGTGACTTTACCGAAAGACCCAAGTAATCTTGTTTCACGTTCCTCGGGTCTTTGGGTAAACCACATTGAACGTGGTTTCCACAAACTGTTTGGTTCTTTCAGTAAAGTCACGTAGGAATAAAATAAAATAAACCACGACGTTTCGGGCGCAACACAAGCGTCCGTCATCAGGTGGGAAAGAAACGTCGTGATTTATTTTATTTTCTACCCACGTCACTTTACCGAAAGAACCAAAGAGTATGGATTCCTGAGGCAACGAAAACTTCAAATCGTGGTTTTCACGTTAAATGTGGACTTTGTTATGCCCCCCGTTTAGTTTCTGTACCCCCCCCCTCTCCATCCACATCCCCGTGTCACGCTGTAGTGGTGAGCAACACTGGAGATTTGAAGTTCGTTTTCCCGACGCGGCAGTGAAACGATTTTATTTACCAGGTAAGGTCACACTTGATCTGCTGTGTAGCCCTTTAATTCAGAAGCCACCGGCCATCACAACATGATAGCTCAACGATGTGGCTTCATCATCATCATCATCATGTGCGGGAAGTTATAGTCGCAGCCGAGTTACTCTAAACGTGGGCTGATTTTGATTCTAAACGTGGTGGGCAAAAACCCGGAGGACTCGGAGAAAAATCCACGCGACCACGAAGAGAGAGAGAGACACGCAAACTCCAAATATACAGCAAGCGGTCATGGTCGAACCCACGACCTCCTGTATACCGGGTGAAGTAGTTAACATCTCCTAGCCACCGTGATGATGATGAGAGAGAGAAGCAAACTCCAAATATACAGAAAGCGGTCAGGGTCGAGGTCGAACCCACGACCTCCTGTGTACCGGGCGAGGGAGATTAACGCAAGTTGGTCGGCAGCTCGCGTGTGGTGAGGTAAAGTGTGGGTACTCCCTCTTCCAAGACGTACTGGCCAGCGTGGAAGAGTAGGCCAAATACCTTCCATAGAGGGGCCACCACAGAGGCCCCCCTCTACTGAAGGTCCTTTCCGCAAGCAGTGGCGTGAGCCGGCAATCGCAGGGCTGCAACTTTTAATCAATGTCAACAACAATATGTTTGTATAGCAGCGTCATTTATACAATTTGTGTTTACCACCTCTCACAATCTCCCACACACAAAGGCGCATACACGTGGGGGGGGAGGGGGGGGGAACAGGAGCACCTGCTGAAAAAAAAAACCCGCACGTGTGCGAGGGGGCAACACTCGATCCCCGTACACATCGGACAGCATTGAGTCCACCCTTTGCCGTACCGCCCTCTCCTGGCGAGCCAGGCTATGGGCTCTTCGGCGATCAAGGGAAAGGCAGCTGTGCAACATCTGTGCGGTGATCCACTAACCCTCGCTCTACCTCCACAAGACGCTGCATCACACGCCACGTGCATGGTTCGATCCCCCCCTTAATCTCCTCCTCCTCCTCCTCACCGTGTCTCTTCCCACTGCTCCTGAGCCGGTGCCACTCGCGATTTCTTCAGCGCCGAGTCGGCAGATCCGCAGTGGCCAATTCCGAGCAGGGCAGGGCCGATCCAGGTCTTCACCGGAGCCGTCCTCTCTTCCCTGAGCACCCGATCTTTCTCGGAGTCGGAGAGGACCCTGCGAGCGATGTGGATGCGCGTCTGCGGTTGCCGCCAGAGGTGCTTGGGAGGGCGTGGGTTACTGCACGGATCATGTTGATGGTGGTGGTGGTGGTGTTGTTCGTGATGGCTGTCGTGCTGTTGCGGCTGGGGTTGTGGCTGGGGTTGTGGATGGCAATGAGGGTCCATTTCTGAGCTCTGTCGTGAGTGCGCGTGGGAAAGAGAGACCCGGTTAGGAGTGAGCAGATTTGAGGCACGCACGAATCACGCACGTGGACACGCACACACGCCTAGACTGGTGGGACAGAATCACGCCCGGCCGCCTTTGTCTCCCTAATACCGACGTTGATGATGAACCACACTGGCTACTTACGCCACCACCGCCCGGCTGGTGGGCACGTACCCAACGAGAGTAGAGATGTGTGTCACCTTCGGCAGGCCGGCCTAACCAGTGTGGTGAAGTATGGTCCACTACCCCGACCCCAACTCTATACCCCCACGGTAAAAGCACTGATAACCCCTCCAGTATTTTATTGTGTTTTTGTATTATTATTTTATTATCTCCCTTCTACGTGACTTTACCGAAAGAACCAAGAAGATGAATCCCTGCAGTCACGAAAGCTTTCAATCGAAATTTAACCGCTCCAGTGTCTGACTTCACACCGTACATGGAGTTGGCCGGCTTAGGTGGAGGAGTGAGGAGGTTCTCAGACTGAATCGTGATGTATATGATCAGCAGCAGAACTCCTTCGACATTTGAACAGAGGTGGTAAAAACATATTTGTGTATTATACCAGCTAAGGCCCACTGAGCGATGTTTCTCTCTTTCAGAAGCGACCTGACCATCACAGAATGATAGCTCAACGAAGTGGCTTGTCATCATGTGGAATATTTTTGTTAGCAGTCATATACTCGGAACGCGTGTTGTTGATTCTAAATGTGGAGGGACAGACCGGGGGGAACCCAGAGAAAAAGCCACGCGGCCACAGGGAGAGAGAGACACGCACACTCCAAATATACAGCAGCAGGCATCGTCAGGGTCTGGAGTTAGTTAACATCTCCTAGCCACCGTGATGATGATGAGAGACACGCAAACTCCAAATATTACAGCAGGCGTAAGGGTCTGGATCGAACCCACGCGCTCCTGTACACCAGGCGAGGTAGTTAACATCTCCTAGCCACAATGATGGTGATAAGAGAGAGACACGCAGACTCCAAATATACAGCAGGCGTAAGGGTCGGGATCGAACCCACGACCTCCTGCACACCAGGCGAGGGAGTTAACATCTCATAGCCACCGTGATGATGATGAGAGAGAGAGACACACACGCAGACTCCAAATATACAGCAGCAGGCATCGTCAGGGTCGGGATCGAAACCCACGACCTCCTGTACACCACGCGAGGGAGTTAATATCTCTTCTACGTAGCGAATCAAACCTTTATGGCACAGGAGACAATACAGCAGCAGTCCTTGAGAAATGTCAACTTGTTACCAGCTCCGTGAGAGTGAAAGATGATAACTCCGCATATTTCCCAACAATGGCAAACTTCCCCCACCGTAGGAAGGATAGTTTTAATATTTTTAAAGCGTCGAAAAGTATCGATTTGAAGCTTTCGTGACTGCAGGGATTCGTCTGAATGAGACGCTGTCTTTCCGACAGACCTGTTCTTCACTTGAGGACGGCTGCTTGCGTTGTGGCCGAAACGTCGTGAGAATTGTATTTTATTATGTTTTATTATTATTTTATTATTTCCCTTCTACGTGACTTTTACCGAAAGAACCAAGAAGACGTCGAAAAGTAGTTGTTGTGGAAGAGTGAGATTTTTAAATATTTCATGGAATCACACACACGTGCTTTAACAGCCGTCAAAGAGTGAATTAGATCACATTGCCAAGCTCGCACTGCAGAGCCGTTCAAACCATTGAAACGTTCCGTCTATGCACCGTGTTTACGTGCGTTCTGTGTGTCTTTGTCCGTGGCAGGAGCGTCAGTGTCTAGTGTTGAGGGCAACTCTCCGCTACGAGTCCGGCCACCCGAGTTCGACACCAGCCCATGGTCACCGTCAACGCCAGCGACGATTTCACGAGTACCTGGAGCGGTGTGTGTGATCGTCAGTACTGGGGAGACAAAGGCGGCCGGGCGTGGTTGCTGACCACCCGTAGGTGCCACTCGCTAACAGCACTTTCCCCAACAGCCTGTTTATATACGGGCTACACGGAGGCATCATTGTTATGTTTATGACGGATCTTTGTATCTGTGTATGATCACATGAACTGTATTATGTGTATGTGCGTTGTGTACACGCGTGTTTATGTGTCTGTGTGTTTATGTGTGTGTGTGTGTGCGTACACAAACACACTCACCTTGACTCCGTGACTCCCCCCTTGTCTCTCTGTGTGCTTCGAAGTGTCTATGTGCCCCCCCCCCCCTCCTTGTCTTTGTGTTTTCCCCGAGTCTCTGTGAGTCTGCGTTTCTCAGTGTCTCTGTTTCTCCAAGTCCCTTGTTTCTATATATGTGCGTCTCGGTCTATAAATGTGCGTCTCTAATTCACATCGTGTCTCTCTGTGTGTCCCCAGGTCTTCAAGGCTCCCTGTGTCTCTCTGTGGTGTCCCTGTGTGTCTCCTCGTGTCTCGATGTGTCTGTGTGTGTCTCTGTCTCTCCCACGTAGATCCGTGTGTCTCTGTAACACCTTGTGTGTGTCTCAGTGTCTCCCCGTGTCTCCACTTTGTAACCGCGTTTGTGGGTGTGGCTGGGGAAATTGGAAAGGCAATACGGGCGTGGAGATAAAATAACACAACCACACACTGACCACAATCACAACCACATTGTGAACACAATGTCATCACAACCACACTCTAAACACACCCTAACCACACTCTAACCACAATGTCATCACAACCACACTCTGGCCACAACCACACTGACCAAAATGTAATCACAACCACATCCTAACCACACTCTAACCACAATCACATCCACACCCTCACCACAATCTAATCACACTCTAACCACAATGTAACCACACTTTAACCACGATCCGCAACCACAGCCGAACCACAATCCTAACTGCACAATCACAAACAAGTGAAGCCAGTTTTATTTTAGTTTACACACGTGACGCATTTCTGGCACAAATCTGCATCATCACATTAATACTCAAAACATAAACATCGAAAATGCTGTACACCAGAAACCACCCCATAACGACAACCACACTTTAACCACAATCTAACCACACTTTAACCACAGCCACACTCACCATAATCACAAACATAGCGTAATGACAACAAAACCCGAACTAACCACACTCTAGCCACAATAATAACCACCCCCTGACCACAATCACAACCAAAACTCAAACCACAATCTAGCCACAAATCACAACAACAATCTAACCACACTATAACCACATCCGAATCACAACCACACACAAGCTACAATCTAACCACAATAACAACACTCTTTGCAATTACAACCACACTCTAACCACAATCACAACCACATAGACAGGGCAGAGAGTGCTGTGAAGAATGATTATTTCCCGACAACGTTGCCTGTTGTATACAGTACTTTGTCTTTATAAAGCCACACACATACAGTCATATGTAACACAAGACACCCATTAGCGTCATTGTGGAGATTTAAATAAGCAGACCACCCGCCACTTTTCGTATCTGTCTCTCTACATGAATACAATTTTATACCACGACTCAACACATAACCCCTACTACAATCTAACTAATCATATATGGAAAATATTAAAGAGGGTTTACCCTCTCTGACAATAAAACAGGTGTTAAGATGTGTACCGTACACACCAAATAGAAACGTTTTGCAAGAAATTAAGTTCGCAATAACCAGACGTGCTTGTGGTGTATGCGAATCAGTTTTAAATACAATTCCATATAATATATTATCTGATAATTATCAGAGAATGCTTGTTTGTATGTTCACAAGTACCGTGTGTGATTAATACGATATTGATTCCTTCCAAAAGGTTTCTATTTGGTGTTTGAACATCTTAACACGTCCTGTTTTATTGCCAGAAAGGGTTCAAACTATTCTTATGTTTTCATACTTTATTACTGGCAAAAAGGTCCCATTTTGTAACTCATCATATCTGCCCCAACGTATAAATGCAATGTTGTACCATGACTTAACAAATACGATTCCTACAAACTGTTTACGGTATAGTAAGCCACTGGTGTGCACTCCGTCAGCGGAGACTGAGTAGCAAAGTGACACAAACTCTGCTGAAGCGCCTCTCATCAAGGCCAGCAGCAGACATCCACGTTGCCATCTCGGCCCTCAACACAGCAATCCTGCCATCACGCACAGGCTATGGGATCAGTGTTAGTCTGTGGATTCGGTGTTAGTCTGTGGGTCAGTGTTAGTCTGTGGGTTCAGTGTTAGTCTGTGGGTTCAGTGTTAGTCTGTGGGTTCGGTGCTAGTCTGTGGGTTCCAGTGTTAGTCTGTGGGTTCGGTATTAGTCTGTGGGTCAGTGTTAGTCTGTGGGTCCATTTTTAGTCTATGGGTTCAGTGTTAGTCTATAGGTCCAGTGTTAGTCTATGGGACCAGTGTTAGTCTATGGGACCAGTGTTAGTCTGTGAGTCAGTGTTAGTCTGTGGGTCCAGTGTTAGTCTGTGGGTCCGGTGTTAGTCTGTGGGTCCATTTTTAGTCTATGGGACCAGTGTTAGTCTATGGGACCAGTGTTAGTCTATGGGACCAGTGTTAGTCTGTGAGTCAGTGTTAGTCTGTGGGTCCATTTTTAGTCTATGGGTCCAGTGTTAGTCTATGGGTTCGGTGTTAGTCTGTGGGTCCATTTTTAGTCTATGGGACCAGTGTGAGTCTATGGGTCCAGTGTTAGTCTATGGGTCCAGTGTTAATCTGTGGGTCCAGTGTTAGTCTGTGGGTCCGGTGTTAGTCTATAGGTCCAGTGTTAGTCTATGGGACCAGTGGTAGTCTGTGGGTCTATTGTTAGTCTATGGGTCCGGTGTTAGTCTGTGGGTTCCTGTGTTAGTCTATGGGTCCAGTGTGAGTCTATGGGTCCAGTGTGAGTCTGTGGGTCCAGCCTATATAAAACCACTGTAGCCTGCACTCCTGTGACGGAGTAGGTATAGTAGTCTATGGGTCCGGTGTTAGTCTGTGGGTTCGTGTGTTAGTCTATGGGTCCAGTGTGAGTCTATGGGTCCAGTGTGAGTCTGTGGGTCCAGCCTATATAAAACCACTGTAGCCTGCACTCCTGTGACGGAGTAGGGATAGTAGAACTCCGTGATCTGTGTCTCCTGAAGCACTCTCATCGTGCGGAGGTGACAATGGCAGCCAGATCCCGAACCTATTCCTGCTGCCATCATGCTCAAGAAGAGAACTGCTACTTTGTGAACATACGATTACCGTGGAGGAAAACGCTGTTTGAAATCCATACCACTTGCAGCATGCAGCTCTGTGGTTACCTCCCAGTGTTCACGACTCAGTGTTTCCAATTAACCCCCAGCCCTGGTTCCAAGCAATTTAGGGAGACACGTTGCTAGGCAACCAGGTGACCGGAGACACAGGGGGTGAGGGTGGGGATGGGGACGAGGGTTGGAGGTGCGGTCGAGGTAATGTAGGTGTGATAATTGACGATTAGGGGCGACGTTTGGGATCCATATTTAGGGGGGAGTCCTGGCTGTGACGGTTATTGATCGGGCGGAAGCGGGCAACGTTCAACAATCATAGTCAATCCACTGCTGGATGAGGCATCCACACATTGTTCATCATCTCTCGTGATGCTGTGATGTGATGAATGCAGCCAGCACCTGCAAACGAGTGGGTTTCATCTCCTTGATACACAAACTCCTGTGGGGGCCGTGTCCCATCATTCGGCCCACTGGGTCGTGATTAGGAAGCCAACGTGGGTAACCCCCAAATATAAGCAAATATCCCCCCGTATGCCCTCGACAGACTTTTGGGTTCAAGTGCTGTTAGTTGTGAGCACCTATGAAAGCCAAAATGACACACGAGGGGGTGGGTGGCCAGCACCACGCCCAACCGCCTTTGTCTCCCCAGTGGCGATGTTTACACACCACACCAGACACTCATTCGAGGCTGAGTCGACCTAGGGGAGGCCCAGAACTGGTTGAGATCAGTCACCGGTGTTGGCCGTGAGCGGGAATCGAACTCGTCTCGCCGACTGTTGGGGCAAGGGATGCAAGCCAAAGCACCGATAGAGGTCTGCGTGTCTTTAACAAAATCTACCGGCAAGATCACCAACACAAATTTAATGTTTTGCCCATAATAAATTTATTACGGGAACAATGTTCAAACACATGACTGTAAAGCTTTCCTGACTGCAGGGATAAATCTTCTTGGTTCTTTCGGTAAAGTCACGTAGAAGGGAAATAATAAAATAATAAAAATAAAACATTAAATAATTCTCACGACGTTTCGGCCACAACGCAAGCAGCCGTCCTCAGGTGAAGAACAAAATAACTTCTGCGCTCTTTGCATAGCAAATTCTTTTGTCAAGGCGCTCTTCCCCCTCCAACCCAGCTTAAATATACGCTCCAAGCCTGGTGTTGTGTCATTCAGACGCTGTCTTCCCGACAGACCTGTTCTTCACCTGAGGACGGCTGCTTGCGTTGTGGCCGAAACGTCGTGAGAATTATTATATTATGTTTTATTTTTATTATTTTATTACTTCCCTTCTACGTGACTTTACCGAAAGAACCAAGAAGATGAATCCCTGCAGTCACGAAAGCTTTCAATCGAAAAAGACACATTTATATATTTACACGATCTAACTGCAAAAAAAAACCTGTATTATGCATGTACACATTGTTCACACAAACGGACCTCATTCAAGTAAACTCATCCCTCTTGTGATATTGGTTTCAGCTCTTGGGGCTCCCACTCAAAGCCACGATCGACGCCTTGACCGACGTCATCTCCTTTGGTGAGTGGACGAGGGGGGGTAGTCGCAGCTGCTGCTGCTGCTGTCACAGCGAGGAGAATCTTGGCCATGCAACTGCGTGTCTCGTACACTGTGCTCGAATACAAAGGCTCGCAAACTGCTTCGCGTAATTTTGACACGAGATGCTGTGCTTCATTTGGGTTTGAAAGTCACAACGGTCTTGGCAACGTACAGCGAGGGAAAAAAGTATTTGATCCCCTGCTGATTTTGTACGTTTTCCCACTGACAAAGACATGATCAGTCTATAATTTTAATGGTAGGTTTATTTGAACAGTGAGAGACAGAATAACAACAACAAAATCCAGAAAAACGCATGTCAAAAATGTTATAAATTGATTTGCATTTTAATGATGGAAATAAGTATTTGACCCCTCTGCAAAACATGACTTAGTACTTGGTGGCAAAACCCTTGTTGGCAATCACAGAAGTCAGACGTTTCTTGTAGTTGGCCACCAGGTTTGCACACATCTCAGGAGGGATTTTGTCCCACTCCTCTTTGCAGATCTTCTCCAAGTCATTAAGGTTTCGAGGCTGACGTTTGGCAACTCGAACCTTCAGCTCCCTACACAGATTTTCTATGGTGTTAAGGTCTGGAGACTGGCTAGGCCACTCCAGGACCTTAATGTGCTTCTTGTTGAGCCACTCCTTTGTTGCCTTGGCCGTGTGTTTTGGGTCATTGTCATGCTGGAATACCCATCCACGACCCATTTTCAATGCTCTGGCTGAGGGAAGGAGGTTCTCACCCAAGATTTGACGGTACATGGCTCTGTCCATCGTCCCTTTGATGCGGTGAAGTTGTCCTGTCCCCTTAGCAGAAAAACACCCACAAAGCATAATGTTTCCACCTCCATGTTTGACGGTGGGGATGGTGTTCTTGGGGTCATAGGCAGCATTCCTCCTCCAAACACGGCGAGTTGAGTTGATGCCAAAGAGCTCCATTTTGGTCTCATCTGACCACAACACTTTCACCCAGTTGTCCTCCGAATCATTCAGATGTTCACTGGCAAACTTCAGACGGGCATGTATATGTGCTTTCTTGAGCAGGGGGACCTTGCGGGCGCTGCAGGATTTCAGTCCTTCACGGCGTAGTGTATTACCAACTGTTTTCTTGGTGACTATGGTCCCAGTCGCCTTGAGATCATTGACAAGATCCTCCCGTGTAGTTCTGGGCTGATTCCTCACCGTTCTCATGATCATTGCAACTCCACGAGGTGAGATGTTGCATGGAGCCCCAGGCCGAAGGAGATTGACAGTTCTTTTATGTTTCTTCCATTTGCGAATAATCGCACCAACTGTTGTCACCTTCTCACCAAGCTGCTTGGCGATGGTCTTGTAGCCCATTCCAGTCTTGTGTAGGTCTACAATCTTGTCCCTGACATCCTTGGAGAGCTCTTTGGTCTTGGCCATGGTGGAGAGTTTGGAATCTGATTGATTGATTGCTCCTGTGAACAGGTGTCTTTTATACAGGTAACAAGCTGAGATTAGGAGCACTCCCTTTAAGAGTGTGCTCCTAATCTCAGCTCGTTTCCTGTATAAAAGACACCTGGGAGCCAAACATCTTTCTGATTGAGAGGGGGTCAAATACTTATTTCCCTCATTAAAATACAAATCAATTTATAAAATTTTTGACATGCGTTTTTCTGGATTTTGTTGTTGTTATTCTGTCTCTCACTGTTCAAATAAACCTACCATTAACATTATAGACTGATCATTTCTTTGTCAGTGGGCAACGTAAAAATCAGCAGGGGATCAAATACTTTTTCCCTCACTGTACTACCAGTACATCTTGATTTACTGTGGCAGTAACAAGATCTGAAAAAATAAACATGAACAGTTATGTTTAGGTAGCACGGTATATATTTGGAAAACCCGTAGAGATTTGCAATCTAACAGAGGACGTGTGCATTACATGGTATTCTGGACATCACATTTTTTAAAATGATAGAACCGTATTCTAAATCAGCACGGTGCAGTTCTACCATAATACAACCATGTTATACTGGTAGGAACCTCCTGGTTACACCAGCCCACAGGGGATTATTGTGTCCGTCCGTCTGTCGTGCATCCAAAAATGGGAGCGGTGGGGCTGGGTGGAGAGGGGAGAGTGGGGAGGGGCTAGGTGGGGAGGGTAGAGAGGGGTGAGTGGGGAGGGGCTGGGTGGGAAGGGTGGGGAGGGGCTGGGTGGGGAGGGTGGGGGTGGGAGGGGTGGGGCTGGGTAGGGAGGGGCTGGTCACCCCGTGGTGCCCTTATAAAACTCAACGTTTAACCTACTCACGCCGGCTTGTGCCCGCCCTCAGTCGGCCATATTTGCGGAATACACCACGCCACCGTTGACCCTGGCCATTGACCGAGCAACCCAACGTTCCTACCAGCTCCCTCCGCAGGAATGTGTTACAGAACAGCCCTCAACACAAACTGTGGGTCGTTAAGTGAGGAATCTATTAAGCTTATATGCTTGTATAACAATGTACCATCCACATCAGGTGATCCTCATTTCATCTGGTGGCCCAGAATCGAGTGGGATTTTCACTTTTATATTTGGGAGCCATTCTTTCCACACAACTACTTGTGCTGTCTCACAAACCGTTATCAATTGTATCGACCCTGGAGGGATGATAGGCCGAGTCGACCGCCGACAGGGAATTATATTTGCAGCATCACAATTAAAGGTTAAGGACCTCCACATTGTACTTATCACCAGAACTAATTCAGTCTTTCTTGTTGTTTCTCTGAAGACCAGACGAAAAGAAGCGCCCCATCAACGGCAAACGGATCATCCCGTGCACCGTCTCTCCGAGGAAGATTCTGGAAACCCGCAATAGAAATGTAATCCATTTTCTCCGCGGGTGCCCTCAGTAAGAGACCCGTTACTATTGTCTACATTTAACCTCGTAAAAATTGTTCAATATTAGCGTATATACCCGGCGTTGCCCAGGATTTCATTTTCTCATAGGTACTGTTTGTTAGAAATACCTTATTTTTATTCTTTTATTATTTCCCTTCTACGTGACTTTACCGAAAGAACCAAGAAGATTAATCCCTGCAGTCACGAAAGCTTTAAATCGAAACCTTAAGTTAGCTTTAGGCTTTTCGGAAAGGCTCCATAAGAAAGGTGAAAAGAAAAATGCACGACATTAATCGATTATTTATTATTTTAAAAAGTTTTCTTATAAAGACAACACAATTTTTTGTTCTTCTTAAAAACTCATTCCGAAACTTATAACTGTGCGTGAGAACAACATGGCGATTCCTGAGCAGAATGATGGGTGACATGATGCCGACGGCGCCAATAACTATGTACCTAAAGTTTAATATTGCCAAGGTACATGTTGCTTGTGTAGCGCCGTAGATAGGCCGCACTTACCTGCAATAGTGGACAGGGGCCATCTAGGGCAGTACCTTGTACCACCAGGGGAGGGGCTGCAGTGCCAGCCCAAGAGGGGAGGGGCTGCTGGGGGCTCAGGATCCCAGACAGCTAAGCCCCTGGGCGCCCCCAGCTGGGGGGGGGGGGGGCTGCGGGTGATCTGGGATCCCACACAGCCCCACCCCTCGATGGGCAAGGGGTATAAAAGGGCACCTCCCCAGCCGATCGGGACCAGTTGAAGACCGAAGCCAAGAGCAGCTAGATAGGACCCTGAGACCTCTAGCCCCGCTGTGCTCATCAGGGCCGGGACTCTGTGCGGCTCAGTGGCGAGACCCTGGGAACCTCCGGTCCGACGTCCTTGTAAGGGCCAGGTCCAGTGGGTCTGTGGTTGGAACCCGCACCCTGGCTAGGGCGAGCTAGAATAGCCTCCCCCTAGGCACCCGTAGCCGGAGGACCCTGAGTGTAGCCCTGTGTTAGGGCACGTGAGCCCGGAGGCAGTACCTCCCCAGGCAATGGTATAGGAGGACCCTGAGTGTGGTTCTGTGTCAGGGTGAGTCAGCCCTGAGGCCTCCCCAGACAGTGGTACAGGAGGACCCTGAGTGTGGTTCTGTGTCAGGGTGAGTCAGCCCTGAGACCTCACCCACACAGCGGTGTAGGAGGACCCTGAGTCTAGTCCTGTGTCAGGGTGAGTCAGCCCTGAGGCCTCACCCACACAGCGGTACAGGAGGACCCTGAGTGTAGTTCTGTGTCAGGGTGAGTCAGAAGAAGCTTGGCAGCAAAAACTTATGCACTTGACTCCCCTATAAGCTGTACTCTGTTCTTAAAGACATTTTTTTACGTGTCGCCATAAAGTTGAAGCTTTGAGGCAGTGAAAAATGAATGTAAACAAAGTAATAATAGTTTGTGACGTAAAGTCCTGCTCACAATCAGGAAAGTTTGTGGGCAAAAAGACACATTGGCTGGACTTTGTTGTTACTGTGATAAAACATTGGTTAATGTGTACGCTGTATTTTTAAAAAAGAGTAATAGAAATGAGAAAAAAAAGATAGATTATGCTTGAAGGGAGCTGTGATTTCGTATGTTATCTCACGCAGTGTCGACACGAAAGAACAAGTATAACCCGTAAAAACAAAGTTTTTCACTATAAATCCTTTATATGCGTGGCGGCTAGAGTCCTCTCGTCCTCTGGCTTGAGATGGCTGCCACCTATGGGTCAGATGATTGCATTGCACCATTAAGCAATTGGTAATTAAATATAATATTTTTGTCCTAAAAGTGTAAAATTTTGCAAAAATTTTTTACGAACATTAATTGTCACGCACAACGAGTCTGTGTGGAAAATGTCAGCTCGATTGGATCACGGGAAGTGGGTTAAAAAACGGCTGAAAGATTTGCAAGCGAACTTAATATAAAGGTAAAACATAATAAAATAAAATAATTCTCACGACGTTTCGGCTACAACGCAAGCAGCCGTCTTCAGGTGAAGAATGAGACACTACCAAACTAGGAGCTCCTAGTTTGGTAGTGTTTGGTAGTGTCTCATTCTTCACCTGAAGACGGCTGCTTGCGTTGTAGCCGAAACGTCGTGAGAATTTTTTTATTTTATTATGTTTTATTTTTATTATTTTATTACTTCCCTTCTACGTGACTTTACCGAAAGAACCAAGAAGATGAATCCCTGCAGTCACGAAAGCTTTAAATCGAAATTTAATATAAAGGATTAAAAAATGGCCCCTCACCCCCACCGAACACGTGCGAGTTAGTACGGCGAGAAATGTGACGTCACATCAAAATGTGCAACATTAAATGAATACAGACAACACGTTCTCTACTTAATTAAATAGACTTTTTAATAAATGTTTTCTCCGACAACATCAGAGTGCAGCGCCACATTAAATACGCACTACAATGACAATAGTTTAAAGCGATTTGAAGCATGTTTTATTTATTTTAGGGGGGGAGGGGGCAGAGCTTTGTGACGTCATATTTGAGGGGGGGGGTCTGACTTTGTGACGTCATATTTGAGGGGGGGGGTCTGACTTTGTGACGTCATATTTGAGGGGGGGGTCTGACTTTGTGACGTCATATTTGAGGGGGGGGTCTGACTTTGTGACGTCATATTTGAGGGGGGGGGTCTGACTTTTTGTGACGTCATATTTGAGGGGGGGGGTCTGACTTTGTGACGTCATATTTGAGGGGGGGGTCTGACTTTGTGACGTCATATTTGAGGGGGGGGTCTTACTTTGTGACGTCATATTTGAGGGGGGGGGGGGTCTGACTTTTTGTGACGCCGTGTGACGAAGGGAGGGGGGGTCAAAAATCGTCCAAAATCACGTGACGTCATTTATGGACGGCCCCAAAGATAAAGATCCCCCGTGTAGCCTTAACAGCTGAAGCGAGCAGCACCTATGAAGGCCGGCACGGCACACGAGGGGGTGGGTGGCCAACACCACGCCCGGCCGCCTTTGTCTCCCCAGTGGCGACGTTTACTACACACCGCTATACCAGCTACTCATTTGAGGCCGAGTCGACCTAGGGGGAGGCTCACCGCGACACTGCCGCTCCCCCACCCCCCTCAGAGTCGGCGCCGCGATTCTCAGTGTCGGCGATTCTCTCGGCGCGAATCGTTGTGGCGATTCCCCCGCATCGATCCACGCGCGACGCGGGGTAACGGCCTCGCGTGCCGGGAACCACGGGGAGAGAAGCAGCAGGGGGAAGCAGCAGCAGCAGGGGGAGAGAAGCAGCAGGGGGAAGCAGCAGCAGGGAGAGCAGCAGCAGCAGGGGGAGAGAAGCAGCAGGGGGAAGCAGCAGGGAGAGCAGCAGCAGCAGGGGGAGAGAAGCAGCAGGGGGAAGCAGCAGCAGGGAGAGCAGCAGCAGCAGGGGGAGAGAAGCAGCAGGGGGAAGCAGCAGGGAGAGCAGCAGCAGCAGGGGGAGAGAAGCAGCAGGGGGAAGCAGCAGCAGGGAGAGCAGCAGCAGCAGGGGGAGAGAAGCAGCAGGGGGAAGCAGCAGGGAGAGCAGCAGCAGCAGGGGGAGAGAAGCAGCAGGGGGAAGCAGCAGCAGGGAGAGCAGCAGCAGCAGGGGGAGAGAAGCAGCAGGGGGAAGCAGCAGGAGAGCAGCAGCAGCAGGGGGAGAGAAGCAGCAGGGGGAAGCAGCAGCAGGGAGAGCAGCAGCAGCAGGGGGAGAGAAGCAGCAGGGGGAAGCAGCAGCAGGGAGAGCAGCAGCAGCAGGGGGAGAGAAGCAGCAGGGGGAAGCTGCAGCAGGGAGAGCAGCAGGGGGAGAGAAGCAGCAGGGAGAGCAGCAGCAGCAGGGGGGGGGGGAAGCAGCAGCAGGGGGAGAGAAGCAGCAGGGGGAAGCAGCAGCAGGGAGAGCAGCAGCAGCAGGGGGAGAGAAGCAGCAGGGGGAAGCAGCAGCAGGGAGAGCAGCAGCAGCAGGGGGAGAGAAGCAGCAGCAGCAGGGGGAGCAGCAGCAGGGGGAGAGAGAGAGGAGCGCGATGCACAGCAGCAAGCGAAGAGTCGAGGAGTAGTCGAGTGTAGTAGCATTACTGTAGTGCAGTATCTGCAGTAGTGCAGCAGTAGTAGCAATGTCGTTGAGTGCAGTAGCATTACTGTGATGTAGTGTAGCAGCAGCTGCACTAGTGCAGGAGTGTGTAGTAGTAGTATTAGGGTGTAGTAGTGGTAGTAGTAGTGTAGTAGTAGTGTATAGCACTACACGCACTGTACCGGCTACTGTACACAATACACGCACTGTACCGGCTACTGTACAGCACTACACGCACTGTACCGGCTACTGTACAGCACTACACGCATTGTAACTGAACGAACTGTACGGGACGCACTGTACACGTACAGTAGGACTGTAGCAACAACAAGAACAGCAGCCGACGACGTTCGCCACCAAGTAAGTGGCGCATGTGCCAGGCTAGGTGCACCTTGAGGCCGTCACGTTACGTGTGGAAAGCTCACTGACTGGAGGTCACGGGACAGACCCAGGTGCCAGGCTAGGTGCAGGAACAGGTCACGGGACAGACCCTGCAGGTGCCATCGGTTCATTGCTGTGCCAGGCTAGGTGCAGGAACAGGTCACGGGACAGCCCCCCCCCCCCAGTGTTTATCGCAGTACTGCCCGCACTGTACGTACAGTGCGGGCAGTACTGTACGTACAGTGCGGGCAGTTGTGGGAACCGCAGAGACGGATCATTGGTGCCAGAGTCGAGGTTCGGTTGTTGTTGCTGTTGTTGATGTTATTGTTGCTGCTATTGCTGCTGTTATTGATGTTGTTATTGATGTTATTGTTGTTGCTGTTCGCTGTTGCTGCTGTTATTGTTGTTGCTGCTGTTATTGATGTTGCTGCTGTTATTGTTGTTGCTGCTGTTATTGATGTTGCTGCTGTTATTGTTGTTGCTGCTGTTATTGATGTTGCTGCTGTTATTGATGTTGCTGCTGTTATTGTTGTTGCTGCTGTTATTGTTGTTGCTGCTGTTATTGATGTTGCTGCTGTTATTGATGTTGCTGCTGTTATTGTTGTTGCTGCTGTTATTGATGTTGCTGCTGTTATTGTTGTTGCTGCTGTTATTGATGTTGCTGCTGTTATTGTTGTTGCTGCTGTTATTGATGTTGCTGCTGTTATTGTTGTTGCTGCTGTTATTGATGTTGCTGCTGTTATTGTTGTTGCTGCTGTTATTGATGTTGCTGCTGTTATTGTTGTTGCTGCTGTTATTGATGTTGCTGCTGTTATTGTTGTTGCTGCTGTTATTGATGTTGCTGCTGTTATTGTTGTTGCTGCTGTTATTGATGTTGCTGCTGTTATTGATGTTGCTGCTGTTATTGATGTTGTAGCTGTTGCTGTTGCCGGTTGTTGCTGTTATTGTTGTTGTCGCTGCTGTTGTAGTCTCCGTTTGACACGGCTTCTCGTAATTATTGTTGCCCCCCCCCCCCCCCCGCTTATTAATACCAACAACATAAATACAACATTATTAATACAACAACATTATTAACACCCACAACATTAAATGAAACCGTCGGCGTCTACGCTCCCGAGAATTAGCGAGCGCGTTTGGCGTAAATAAAATATAATTAGATTCTTAAACGCGTCATGGATGCGTTACGATGCACAGCGAGAGTAAATAGTGAACAACAACTAAACTACCACGGTCATTGACTCACCCACCTCCACACACACACACCTTTGTTTTGTGAACTTTAGGCGACAACTTTGGTTTAAATGTTGGCGCGCCTCCAACCACTTGACGGAGGAGTGGAGGGTCCTCTTGTTCAATTGCTGCCTTGAGCCGCGTTGTGTGATCGTGTGGTGGTGAGGGTGGTGGTGGTGGTGGTGAGGATGGTGGTGGTGGTGGTGAGGGTGGTGGTGAGGGTGTTGGTGGTGGTGAGGGTGGTGGTGGTGGTGGTGAGGATGGTGGTGGTGGTGGTGAGGGTGGTGGTGAGGGTGGTGGTGGTGGTGGTGAGGATGGTGGTGGTGGTGGTGAGGGTGGTGGTGAGGGTGTTGGTGGTGGTGAGGGTGGTGGTGGTGGTGGTGAGGATGGTGGTGGTGGTGGTGAGGGTGGTGGTGAGGGTGGTGGTGGTGGTGGTGGTGAGGATGGTGTTGGTGGTGGTGAGGGTGTTGGTGGTGGTGAGGGTGGTGGTGGTGGTGGTGAGGATGGTGGTGGTGGTGGTGAGGGTGGTGGTGAGGGTGTTGGTGGTGGTGAGGGTGGTGGTGGTGGTGGTGAGGATGGTGGTGGTGGTGGTGAGGGTGGTGGTGAGGGTGGTGGTGGTGGTGGTGAGGATGGTGGTGGTGGTGGTGAGGGTGGTGGTGAGGGTGTTGGTGGTGGTGAGGGTGGTGGTGGTGGTGGTGAGGATGGTGGTGGTGGTGGTGAGGGTGGTGGTGAGGGTGGTGGTGGTGGTGGTGGTGAGGATGGTGTTGGTGGTGGTGAGGGTGTTGGTGGTGGTGAGGGTGGTGGTGGTGGTGGTGAGGATGGTGGTGGTGGTGGTGAGGGTGGTGGTGAGGGTGTTGGTGGTGGTGAGGGTGGTGGTGGTGGGTGGTGAGGATGGTGGTGGTGGTGGTGAGGGTGGTGGTGAGGGTGGTGTGGTGGTGGTGGTGGAGGATGGTGTTGGTGGTGGTGAGGGTGTTGGTGGTGGTGAGGGTGGTGGTGGTGGTGGTGAGGATGGTGGTGGTGGTGGTGAGGGTGGTGTGAGGGTGTTGGTGGGTGGTGAGGGTGGTGGTGGTGGTGGTGAGGATGGTGGTGGTGGTGGTGAGGGTGGTGGTGAGGGTGGTGGTGGTGGTGGTGAGGATGGTGTTGGTGGTGGTGAGGGTGTTGGTGGTGGTGAGGGTGGTGGTGGTGGTGGTGAGGATGGGTGGTGGTGGTGGTGAGGGTGGTGGTGAGGGTGTTGGTGGGTGGTGAGGGTGGTGGTGGTGGTGGTGAGGATGGTGGTGGTGGTGGTGGTGAGGGTGGGTGGTGAGGGTGTTGGTGGTGGTGAGGGTGGTGGTGGTGGTGGTGAGGATGGTGGTGGTGGTGGTGGTGAGGGTGGTGGTGAGGGTGTTGTGTGGTGGTGAGGGTGGTGGTGGTGGTGGTGAGGATGGTGTGGTGGTGGTGAGGGTGGTGGTGAGGGTGTTGGTGGTGGTGAGGGTGTGTGGTGGTGGTGGTGAGGATGTTGGTGGTGGTGAGGATGGTTGGTGGTGGTGAGGATGTTGGTGGTGGTGAGGATGTTGGTGGTGGTGGTGAGGAGTTGGTGGTGGTGGTGGAGGTGGTTAGTGGTGGTGGTGAGGATGTTGGTGGTGGTGGTGAGGATGTTGGTGGTGGGTGGGTGGTGAGGATGTTAGTGGTGGTGGTGGTGAGGATGTTGGTGGTGGTGGTGAGGATGTTTGGTGGTGGTGGTGTGAGGATTGGTGGTGGTGGTGGTGAGGATGTTGGTGGTGGTGGTGGGGTGGTGGTGGGTGTTGGTGGGTGAGGGATGGTGGTGGTGGTGGTGAGGATGGTGGTGGTGGTGGTGAGGGTGTGGTGAGGGTGGTGGTGGTGGTGGTGAGGGATGGTGGTGGTGGTGGTGAGGATGGTGGTGGTGGGGTGTGAGGGTGGTGGTGAGGGTGGTGGTGGTGGTGGTGGAGGATGGTGGGAGTGGTGGTTGGTGTGAGGGTGGTGGTGAGGTGTGGTGGGTGGTGGTGAGGATGGTGTTGGTGGTGGTGAGGGGTGGTGGGTGGTGAGGGTGGTGGTGGTGGTGGTGAGGATGGTGGTGGTGGTGGTGATGGTGGTGGTGAGGGTGTTGGTGGTGGTGAGGGTGGTGGTGGTGGTGGTGAGGATGGTGGTGGTGGTGGTGAGGGTTGGTGGTGAGGGTGGTGGTGGTGGTGGTGAGGATGGTGTTGGTGGTGGTGAGGGTGTTGGTGGTGGTGAGGGTGGTGGTGGTGGTGGTGAGGATGGTGGTGGTGGTGGTGAGGGTGGTGGTGAGGGTGTTGGTGGTGGTGAGGGTGGTGGTGGTGGTGGTGAGGATGGTGGTGGTGGTGGTGGTGAGGGTGGTGGTGAGGGTTGTTGGTGGTGGTGAGGGTGGTGGTGGTGGTGGTGAGGATGGTGGTGGTGGGGTGGTGAGGGTGGTGGTGAGGGTGTTGGTGGTGGTGAGGGTGGTGGTGGTGGTGGTGAGGATGGTGGTGGTGGTGGTGAGGGTGGTGGTGAGGGTGTTGGTGGTGGTGAGGGTGGTGTGGTGGTGGTGGTGAGGATGTTGGTGGTGGTGAGGATGTTGGTGTGGTGAGGATGTGGTGGGGTGGTGAGGATGTTGGTGGTGGTGGTGAGGATGTTGGTGGTGGTGGTGAGGATGTTGGTGGTGGTGGTGAGTGGTTAGTGTGGTGGTGGTGGTGGTGAGGATGTTGGTTTGGTGGTGGTGGTGAGGATGTTGGTGGTGGTGGTGGTGAGGATGTTGGTGGTGGTGGTGGTGAGGATGTTGGTGGTGGTGGTGAGGATGTTGGTGTGGTGGTGAGGATGGTGGTGGTGGTGGTGAGGATGTTGGTGGGTGGTGGTGAGGGTGGTGGTGGTGGTGGTGAGGATTGTGGTGGTGGTGGTGAGGGTGGTGGTGAGGGTGTTGGTGGTGGTGAGGGTGGTGGTGGTGGTGGTGAGGATGGTGGTGGTGGTGGTGAGGGTGGTGGTGAGGGTGTTGGTGGTGGTGAGGGTGTGGTGGTGGTGGTGGTGAGGATGTTGGTGGTAGTGACGATGTTGGTGGTAGTGAGGATGTTGGTGGTGGTGAGGATGTTGTTGGTGGTGGGTGAGGATGTTGGTGGTGGTGGTGAGGGTGTTAGTGGTGGTGGTGAGGATGTTGGTGGTGGTGGTGAGGATGTTGGTGGTGGTGGGGTGAGGGATGTTAGTGGTGGTGGTGGTGGTGAGGATGTTGGTGGTGGTGGTGAGGATGTTGGTGGTGGTGGTGGTGAGGATGTTGGTGGGTGGTGGTGGTGAGGATGTTGGTGGTGGTGGGTGAGGATGTTGGTGGTGGTGGTGAGGATGGTGGTGGTGGTGGTGAGGATGTTGGTGGTGGTGGTGAGGATGTTAGTGGTGGTGGTGAGGATGTTGGTGGTGGTGGTGAGGATGTTGGTGGTGGTGGTGGTGGTGGTGAGGATGTTAGTGGTGGTGGTGGTGAGGGTGTTGGTGGTGGTGGTGAGGATGTTGTTGGTGGTGGTGAGGATGTTGTTGGTGGTGGTGAGGATGTTGATGGTGGTGGTGAGGATGTTGATGGTGGTGGTGAGGATGTTGATGGTGGTGGTGAGGGTGTTGGTGGTGGTGGTGGTGGTGAGGATGTTGGTGGTGTGGTGAGGATGTTGGTGGTGGTGGTGGTGGTGAGGATGTTGGTGGTGGTGGTGAGGATGTTGGTGGTGGTGGTGGTGAGGATGTTGGTGGTGGTGGTGGTGAGGATGTTGGTGGTGGTGAGGATG